AAGCCGTAGCTTCTACAGAGTCTCTTTTGGGTTTGTTCCTAAAGCTGACGTTGGTCTATCTGCTGTTTCTTTTCTCTGCCCTTGTCCTAGTTTTGGACACCCAAATAATAGGAGCAGTAATAGTAATACCGATTTACTTAACAGACACTTAGCTCTTAATTTGTAGCAGGCACTATTTTAAGTGCGTTCCAAATATTAGCACACCTTTGTAGGCAGGCATTTTGAGATAATCGAGGCAGGCGGGGAGTTAAGCAACGAGTCCAAGGTTGAACAGCAAGGAAGTGGTGGAGCTGAAACTGAACTGGGGGGGGCGGGGTCCAGCTCTGGAGCCCAGATCCTTACCACATCATTGTTGTGGCTGAACTAATAACAGCAGCTAACACTTCTAAGTGCCAGGCATATGCCTGCACGTTCTTGGGCCTGTGGCCCAAGCCGGGTACCCCAGGGGTCACAGAGCGCCAGAGCCAGACTTAACCCCGTCTCTCCGCTCAGCCCTTGTGCTTACGCCCTCTGCCCTTTTGCCTCCAGGGGCGGAGTAATTGAAGTCCCACAGAATGATTTGAAAACATTTATTAATACCATTTCTCCAGTGCGAGGTGATGGAACCCTTTTTCGTGAATTAGTCTCGAGAACACATGCCAGCCATTGTCCCTCCTTTCTTCCCCGACTTTTCCAAAGGTTTTTGAGATTACCTCCCTTCTGATGCTCATGGCTGATCTGTGCTCAGAGACCACCTGCCTTGCCAGGCTTTCACTGCACTGGGTAAACCAACAGCAATGAAAAGACCTTGTTCCAGAATGATGCCTTCTTTTATTGGTGCTATTCTAGTAGGCCAATGATCTAATTCCCCCAGCCTTCCAACCTGACATCCCCCTCCTGCTGCCCCTGAGCTATGAATGAACTGAATCTCTCCCCTACCCACTCAACCCTCGAAATTGCAACTTAATAACAAACATTCAGCCACCCTGTGCTTACCTCCCCCTTATTAAAGGGACGGACCCTTGGTGGAGAGTGGGGAGGGGCGCAGCACATTTCTGGGCAGCAAACCCCATCTCCAACTGAAGCGGTCTTGGAATGAAACTACAGCCATTCAGCCTAAGTTTGCTGCTTCTAGAAGGCTGGTCCTAGCTGGATCTAGGTTTCTTACACAGGGCCACGGGAGAAATTGTGCGTGACTGTCACCCTAGCGATTTTTTAACAAGTTCTCCCTTACCCGCCACCGTGTGCCCAAAGTAGTTTGTGTGAGATTGTATAAGCTGCCTGAGCTGCCCGGGCTTCAGAAGGCGGGGCTGAACCTGATGCCACCCGGTTAAGCTACCTCCAGGGTGTCCTGGTCTCAGGCCCCCATTCGGGTCTCCGACCAGTGTCCCTGATCTTGCCGCACTCCGCTAAGCTCAGGAGGCACCAGCAGGAACCGTACCTGGGCCTCCTGCGAGGCCTCCTCTGTCCCAGGTCACAGGGCAGGACGAGGCCGCAGACATCACAGACATAGGAAATTCATTTGGTGAGGATTTGAGGGCAGGTGGGTAAAAGAAATAGCAAGGTCGGACCTGTTCCTATTGCATGAACGTCTAGAATAGCAAAGGAAATATAATCGTTTGCCACATTCCCTCAACCAAATGAACCAATTTTGATTATGTCTGTTTCCTTCCAGTCTTTGTCTTATTGTATAAATATTTTTGCCAGCGGCAGTCATAGTATAGAGAGCATTTTTGTTACGGTCTTTCATTTAACATTTCATATTTTTCCGTCTCCTACATGGTTTTATAATTATAGTTTTAATGACTACATTATGATGTATAATTGTAGTTTGTGCCCCATTGTTGAGGGTTTTAAATTGTTTTCTGTACTCTTACAAAGAGTGCTAAATGTACCTATCTATGCATATGCCTTTTTCCTTTGACTTTACTATCATTAGAAATCATATGAAATTACTGGGTCGAAGAGTATGAACGTTTTTATGGCTTTCAAACATGAAGCAATTTTCTTTACTAAAAGGGTAATGTCCATCCACATTGCTACCAGTAACATTTTAACAGGCCTATTTTAAATCATAACCTTGATGGTAATAGGACTCCTGTCTTAAATACTGCTAATTTAATGGGAACAAAGTGATTCCTTGGTTTTAATTTATACTTCTTTGCTGTTGAAATGAGTCTTTCCCCATATTTGTTTAATTGTGTTGCCTTTTATGTGAATTGTCTGTCTGTATTCTTTGCATATCTGCTGGACTTGGCATTTTTCTTACAAATTTATATGAATAACTGATACTTTCCCAGGGCCACCAATTTAACGCCTTAAGTTTAAACATGGTAATAAAAATAAAATCTAGCAAAATAAATTTAATAGGTACTACATAAACACATGAAATAAGGTTTTATAGTGCTTATTATGTGCTAAGCACAATTCTAAGCATTCTGCCCAACTCTGTGAAATATGTACTATTATATTCCCATTTTGTAGATGGAGAAACTGAGGCAAAAGCAATTCATAAATGTGTCCAGGCCAAATTCAGTAGATAAGGCAGTCTGGCTCCCATGTCCCCACACTCTTATTAATTAGGAGGAAGAATCAGGGAAGGAGGGCAGCAGGGAATACTGTCCTGAGAAGTGAAGCAGATACAAGCGTCCAGTCCCATAGACTCATAAAATATTTGAAACAGTATACTGGAGCCTCTTGCACCTCTGAACTAATTGCTCACTATTTTAAAGTGAATTGAGAGGTGAGCAAATGTAAGAAACAAACCTTTCTGTCACTGTACGCACCTCATTATGTTAGGAGTTGTTACCAAGGGTTTTTTGAAGGTGTGTGTTTGCATTTTTCCATCTGTTTATCCTAGTGGGGGCTCCCTTTCTTGTTTGGGTCCAGTGATGATGCATATTCTCCTGTTACTTTTCCTGTCCATTTGTGCTGTTAAAAAATTGTCCCCTTCTCATGATTTTAGTAGGTTTTATTTTGAACGGTGGTTCTTAGATCATAGAAACCCATTTTATTTGTTTTAGGTGGATTTAAGGGATTCCATTTTAGGGTGCTTCCAACTTATATGCTGAATAATAAATTTTCACAATGTGGGGTGCCAAAGTAGTATAAGAATTTAAATCTTCGCTCTGTGGGTGAGGAAATAGATATGCTGGGACAGACAGGCAGGCTGCTTTTATTAGTGGGGCTTTATTGATTTAAATCATTTCATATGACAACGGTTGAATTCTGCCCAGAACCAATAGTGTAAGAAAAACTGTACATTGGGCTGCTTACCCACTGCTCCTTCCGTACCCCCACCGTGCCTCATACATCCACCAGGTTGGCACTGTGTCTTTATGAGGAAATGTGGACTGCTAAAATTGTAATCACAGACAAGCAAAAATCACACTGTCCCCTAATTCTGTTTCCATAACTACCATGTGTATTAGCGACTTGCGGTTGCAATCTGAAGGAGTCGTAGTGAACTTCTGCATTTCAAGTCACGGCAAGAATGACCCATCTCAGCATCGTCAGTTTGGAGTTTCAGTATAGTGTGGCAGAACTGGGGAAACTCTCTGGTGCTAGCTTCAGTCTCTTTCTAAGTAAAATATGGAACTGTGAAACCCTGGGAGATCGCTGTCCTTTAGTTAATTGGAGAGGACCAGCATAGGTGAGTATGGGGAGGAAGGAAGTAGATGACTTCAACTCGTCTCGGCTTGAATGATATACCGAAAGTCAGCATTCAAGCTAAGGATTTTGGGTGGCGCACTGTTTGCCATGAGAGATCCAAGCTCTTGGAGACGAGTTCATCAGGTGTATTTTCCTGTTGTGTTTCTTTAGAATCCCAAGAAATCAGATCGTCTTGTGTAGTTCAGCCATCACAGAGAAAGGGCTGGGTATTTGTTATCAAAGGCAGCTTCATTCATCAGGTTGGATCTCTGCTGAGACAGCAGCCAGCTTTCAAAAGGGGGGCTACCCCGTTTCTCAACAGGGTTTCCTGCGATGGTTGTAGACCCTCCCAACAGGAGTGATTAGGCGGCTCGCTGGCCAGCCAAAGGCCACCGCGAACCTACTCGTTGCCACTGACCGGAAGTAGACCTGTGCTGTGCTTGGCCGGTGGAGCAAGGGCTGGAGTTGTTCTGATTTGTGCCCTTGGCTGGGTGCTCTTGTGCAGTACACGGATTACAAATGTGTACTGTGACTTGAAAAAGACCCAGTAGTAACAGCACAATGGGCAAGATGGTCCAGTTCAGGTAATTTTCACGGCTTCTAATGCAATTTACCGGTAACATATATTTTATTTAACTTGAGCTTTCTAGCCTACCTGTTTTGGGTTGTATCTCTGTCTCCTTCCTCACTGTGTCACAGACACACTAGGCTCATTCTTGCCTCTGTGCTTCGGCAAACAGTGGCTTCTCCTTCCTTTTCACATGGCTCTCTCCAGCTCACCCTTCAGGCCTCAGTTTAGATGTTGCTTCTTTCAGGAAGTCTACCCTGATCTCCCGAGTCTGGAGGGTCCCATTTAGGTACCCTCATTAACATTTTGAAAACTTGCCCATCGTAACACTTAATATGCTACAATATTGTACTTTCTGTGTTCTTGTGTGCATGTCTTCATTAGCATATAAACTTCTCAAGGCAAGAAATGTGTTCTGTTCATAGTCGTATTCTGAAGATGTACCATAATACCTCGCACCCACTACACATTGAAGAACAAATTCATAAATGCATGGTATGAATTTTTGTTGGTTGATGGATTCTGAATATTTGCTTTGGCTTTGTTTTATTGGCTGTGATAGGCTTTGCTGTTGAATGAGTCAATTTGCAAATGCAAAAGGCAAATCCCTAGTGAAATAGTGCAGCCGGCTCTGTGGTGTTTCTTGAGTCTCTTGATTGGCTGGTTGACTCAGGAGAGCCCACCTGGAGGGTTCTGAGTCATGTGACTCACCCAGGTGATGATTTCAGAGCCAGGGAGTGTTCTGATCTTGGAAAGACTTAATATGTACTAACATACACTAATCTTCTCTTGCCTTCCCTAGCACTGGAAGACACAACGCAGTGAGGAGTATGAAGCAGAAGGTAGGAACTGAGTGTGTGTCGGGCTCTGCTGGTCGCAGGGCACTCAGACTCCACACCCCCTTCCCTGCAGCTCTCAACCTTCTTCCCAACAGCCTCGCTTGCTGGAGGCCAGCTAAGAAGTAACCCTGAGAACAACAGCCATAAAAAATACTCATTCCCAGGGGAAAGTTCATAGTTTTAAAACCCTAGCATTTAACCTCATGCAAGGTATGGCAACTAAGATGTGGAATTTTACGTATGGGTCAGTTACTCTTAAACAAACTTTGAAATTAATCTATGAGCAGTCCTAAACTAAATAGAGACCTATTAAAATGCACCCATTGACAAGTTTCAGATGGATTGAAGAAGCCACAGAACATGTTGAACTTCTGGAGCCAGCAGATGGCACTGTGGTTCAGCTGCCAGAACCTTCTCCCACTTCAGGCTACCCTGGCGAAACTTCACTTAAGAGTAATTACTGTGTGTTCTCTAGGTCTCTAACCTGGAAAGACACAGCAGTAATGAGCTTAATTTCTTCAATAAATAGTAAGGGTAGCACTAAATGTACTTCTCAGCCTCCTAAGGTTCTTCCAGGCACAGAAAATTGTGCCAGTAATTATCTCATGATTGAGTAATGACTTTAGAAATGTCTAACATGTAAGTGAAAAATTTACCTTGAAGTGAGAACTTTGAATAGAGGCTAAATACATTTTGATTTTTAAATAAGTCTGATCCTTAAGCGTTCAAATAAAACCTATCCTTAATGTTAAATGATTAGTAACGTGCAATTTACAACCATTTATTCTTTCAAGTGGGTTTGTCTGTAGGGCAGAATATTTGAAGGTGTAAAGATTTGGAAACAGGATAATCCTGAGACTTTTATGATTATGTTATGATACTTATCATGAAATCATTTCCTTCTCAGTAAAAGCACTTCTACTGCTTCAACTAGAAAGAGCGGCAATAGTGACGTCTGGTAGCTATAGTTGGGGCAGGGCATAGAAATCTCTCTGGACTGGCTCTCAACTAGCTTTCTCCCCCAGTCACACCGAAGCCTTAAGCCTGTGCTTGCTTTCAGTTGGAATAAAACAAACCTAGAACCTTGGTATGCCTGCGCAGGAGGTGTTTCTTGCATGGTGTAGAAAAAAAGGTGCCTCTTCACTCTAGTTGCAGCCCAAGAACCTGTGGTTCTATTTCATGTGAACTGCAGACTCAAATCAAAATGGAATCTGCATTGATAGTCTCTTTCCTGTAATATTGACTTTCAAAAAGCATAATTTTCTTTGAGGATAGGCTCTCTCTCTTTGCAATTCCTTTGTGCATAGCACAATAGATGTTTTTATTTCAGGTCAGTTAAGATTTTGGAACCCAGACGACTTGAATGCCTCACAGAGTGGGTCTTCTGCTCCCCAAGACTGGATAGAAGAGAAACTGCAGGAGGTTTGTGAAGACTTGGGGATCACCCGTGATGGTCACCTGAACCGAAAGAAGCTGGTCTCCATCTGTGAGCAGTATGGTCTGCAGAATGTTGATGGAGAGGTAAGTCTTGCCTCATATTTTTATTCAGAAATAATCATGATAATGTCTAGACTGGCCACAGGCTAGGAAGAGCCATATTTTGGCTTCCTGCCGCATGTTACAGAGACTCCAGTCTCTTTTTTCTCTAGGAAGTAAGCCATGAAGATTCTTCCTGGAGAAGCTCATGTTGTGTTATGGAAAACAAACAAAAAACAAAAAAATCCCTGACAATAGCTGACGCCCACTGAGCCCCTTGCTGTGCTAAGCATGTTACCCCACGTCATTATCAGCCATGACCTCAGTGCAGCCACGATGGCAGATACATTTGTAGAAGTGGCTTCCACAGAGCAAATGTGGGAAAGACCCGGAGGACAGATTACGCAGGCAGCTGAGGAGATTGGAACTGGGCGAGTATTTCAAAGGCCAGGCTGATGAGTTTAGGTTTTTGGAGCAAAGATCTCATTATCAACCACAGAATGAGTAATATGTAGGACAGACTTCGATACTGAGGATGGTCTGAGCTGCTTTTGTGGGGTATATTGGTGTTGGGACAGCCTGTGGCTAGGGGCCCAGCCAGGAGCCATCACAATATTCTGGTCATGAGGAAATGAAAAAGGGGAGGTTGGTGGTTTTGAAGATATACAGAAGAATCTTGAAGGAGCCCCCAAAAGACTCCTGCTTGATAAGATTCTGAGCTTTGCCTTTTCTGAAGAATTAAGAGGGGAACTGGCAGGACTGGGTGCATGAATAGCCGTGAAACGTGAGAATATAAATAATTCTAAGATTTGTCTTTCAAAGAGCTGAAAATAAGGAGGGACTCAGAGGTTAGGGCTGCAGTTGTAGTTGGGGGAATCTTTGATTATAATGATATTTGAAACCATATTGTCTGCTTGCTCAGGGGCTATGGGGTATTATTTTCCTAAACCAGATATTTACCATCAAAAGCTACCAAGTAGCCGAATTTGCAGAAAAGCTTTTCCCCTCCTTCTCCCTAGAATATGTGACTGTTCTGTACCTTTTGACTGTCTTTTTAATGGCTCAGTGGTCATTTATTTTTCAGTGTTGCTTGTTGAGTCATGAAATTAAATTCATCCTAAATTATAAACCAGTGCAGTATGCAGAACCTTGGGTGGTTTTGCCGAGAAATACTGCACACACTTGGATTATTTATCTAAGAGCAATTCTTGGAATAAACTGTAGCCATTTGCGGAGTGTTGCATTTTCTTCTGTGGTGGAGTTTCGAAAGCCCAGGAAAAAAGTAGCACATTTAGTTATTTTCCTCGATCCAAGGATGAGTAAAAGATTGCTCATTGAATACAGCTTTTACTTAATGTTTCCCCCTGCCAAAAAAAATCATGAAATACTATAGTACTTCATACTGCTGGCTCTAGACCACAGAGGAGCTGAAAGTTCAAGATGATCTCATCACCCTGTAACTTGGGATCATAGGATTTCATGGCCGAAAGCAATTTTAGATTTTTAGACCCCTCATTTTATAGATAAAAAAGGGATGTCCCTGCTGCTTGTTGCCATTACCATGAAGGGGAACTAGATTCCCTGTCTCATGTACCCTGCTTTCCAGAAGCAAGGACAACTGTAGGGCGGGGATGGCAAACTATCGCCCTAGATGCCAAATATGGCCCAAAGTTTTGGGGGTTTTGGTTTTTTTCCTTTGGCCTGCCCAATGTTTAAAACTTGAACTTTTGCTACACTTTTTTTTTTTTTTTTTTAAATCAGGAGATTTTTCTAAGAACCAGAATATTTGACTCCATTGTGCGAGCAGTGAGAGGTGGCCGGCGAGCTCCTTTGGACAGGGCATGCACTCACGTGCTCAGTTCCCTGCTTTAAATGGCGCCACTCTGTGATGTCTCAAGACCACCCGGCCTTATTAATCTACGTTGCCTTCCTGGCTTCTCTGGGTATTTGGGTCTGTTAACCCTAGTCTGGTGCGTCATTTCCCAGCTAACACACTGGGAGATCAACCATCCGAGACCCGGCTGGTGTGTCATGAGGAGTAAGAATGTCCTCTGGGTTCTAGATTTGGCTCCTGCACAGGGCTCATTGCCCATTTGCCTTGCATTCTGTTCAGCCCAACCCTGCCTTCTGAATCCACAGCCGTCTCTTCGCCACTTGCCCGCTCCCCTGTGTACAATTACTGGCAGGACTCACTTGCTCCGCTACTTTGAACAGATGAGGTGATGGGTTTTTTTAGGCAGTCTGGAAGCTGTGCGTCGACTTGGCCAAGGTCACAAGTCCCCAAGCAGTGTGGAGCTAAGGTTAGAGCTGAAATAATGCTTGTTAACTTCGGTCAGTGCACCTGGATTTACTGTGACTTCTGGCTTGGTGGTCCTGAAAGCCTAGTCCTCCAAGAAAGTGGTCTTCTGGTTGGTAAGAGCGAGACAGAAATGCTAAGCGATCTTAGTAACCCCAGAATCTCACCCCAAACACCTTTCCATTGGTTTTACCATTTAATTCTCTATTAAGAACTGTTCTTCTTCCAAAGATTTCCACTCTTTAGAATGGTTTTTTAAAAAAAAAAAAAAAGAATGGTTTCTTGTTTCGGAGACCTCTCCAGAGGAAGTGGTATTTAAAAAAAGGATAGAGACAGATGTTCCCTATTGGATGTGAATTGGAAAGAAGCATTTGAAATAAATGCCTCAGGCACTTCCATGAAGAATAAAATAAACAGTTATGAGACGACAAACCCTAGCAATAGTCCAGACTTATGAAATGAATCGTCAAAATTTAAAGATGTGTCACAAAGAGGCCTTTGTTAGAATGGACCCAGTTGCAGACTCTACTGCCTCATGAGTAATTTTGCTGCTTAATCAGTTTCCTTGCCCCTCAACAACATGCACGTCACCTGAGAGCTTGTCAGAGATGCAGAATATCAGACCCCCTATATCAGAGTCTGCATTTTAACAAGATCCTCAGGTGATTTGTACAATGGAGGAGTTTCTGTATAGAAAAACCTTAGCCCCACCCCAGAGTAAAGAGGAATCCAACTGCCAGGAAAAAGGAGATCATTGCCTTTTCTCCCTGTTTTGTGGTGTCAGTGACTCATATGCTGCTTTATTCATCCCTTTATATTCCTCTGTTGAGCTAGGGGACAAACCACCTCCTAGGCAAGCCTCTGGAAGGGACTATAATCCAGTTTCTCCTTCCCCAGTTACGTGATGAGGACTACTTATTGTTAGAGGGTACAAAATAGCCAGGCAAAATTCCCTTCTCTTTACATCTCTGGGATCCTTCCATTGGACGCACACAAAATCTGTCTTATCTGATCTTCATTTCTCCTGTGCTGAAGCATTAAAACAAATAAAAACCCAAAACATACAATGTTGTTCCAAGTAGTGCTCTTAATCCCAAGTCCTGGGTTTCAGACCCAAACTCTTAGATAATTGCAATCTGTCCCAGACTAAATTCTGCTGTTCTAACATACCAATTTCAAAAAATCAGCATAAGCAAAATATCATGTAGTCACCACAATATAATGGCTTAATGTCTGTCCAGACTTTTTAAATTTTTTTTAAGAGAGGTAGGGGAGGGGCAGAGGGAGAGAGAGAATCTTAAGCAGGTTCCATGCCCAGTGTGGAGCCTGACACGGGGCTCCATCTCATGACCCTGTGAGATCATGACCGGAGCTGAAATCAGGAGTCGGACACTTAACCGACTCTGCCACTCAGGTGTCCCCAGTCCAAACTTATTTCCATTATTACAACACTGGGAAGCTATACCTTTATCTTTTTAAAGTAAATTTTTAGTCCATAGAATAATCTATAGCAATATTAAAGATTACCCATTTTAGGAGTATGAATAAGAGAAAAAACAGTTGATTGCTAAATTGCATAAGATTATGAAAATGGACGTTTACTTTGTGGAGGAGGAAGGACGTATTACTGAAAAGGAAAATAAATTCAGTGAAATGAGAATAAAGGGACATGTTCTATTTCTGGAGCCTTAGGGTCAACAGTGGTGCCAATTTCTACTGGCCACAGATGTACTTTGGGCCTTGTGTTATTTTGAGGGAAATACTGAAAGTAAGTGGTTACTATTTTCTAGATGCTTGAGGAAGTCTTCCATAATCTTGATCCTGACGGTACAATGAGTGTAGAAGATTTTTTCTATGGCTTGTTCAAAAATGGAAAATCCCTCACACCATCAGCATCTACTCCCTATAGACAGTTGAAAAGGCACCTCTCCATGCAGGTAAGAAATAAATCGGAAGTGATTTCTCCGTGAGTAGAAGTTAAAACCCATTTGAATAGTTTGTAATGAACTAACCTGTTGTCTGAGGAAGAAGAAGGAGAAAGAGAGAAGCAAAAAAAGAAGAAAGACTAAACCACTGGGAAGGAGAAGTTGGGTTTGAAAAATGACCATAAATTACAGAGTGGGAAGCCACTAATTATGCCCCTTAATGTTAGCTGTGGGTCAGAGAAACCTGGTGTTAAGTAGAGACACATCTATGTCAAGGGACTTGCTACCAGATCAACTGTTTTTGATAAGTTTTACATTCTTGACTCACTTGGGAAAGAAAGATCAAAGGGGCTGCATGACTTGTTTTTCTAGTAGCGTTAGAGAGCCATCTCTTCTGCTCATTGTGGTCAAGACTGTCCAGTTTGGGTCAACGTCTGGTTGAAATGCCTGACCTGGCTCAAGTCTCTTTCTTCTTTCAGTCCTTCGATGAGAGTGGCCGACGCACCACAACCCCATCAGTGATGACAAGTACCATTGGCTTTCGGGTCTTCTCCTGCCTGGATGACGGGATGGGCTACGCATCCGTGGAGAAAATACTTGACTCCTGGCAGGAAGAGGGCATTGAGAACAGCCAGGAGATCCTGAAGGTATGGCAGCTAACGTGGGAGAAAAAGGACAAATTGGGCAAGGGCTGAAAAATTCCAGTGCTTTTGAAACTGATTTGATTTCTCCTTAATGATTCTTCTTTTCACAAGATCTCAGGGATAAGAGGTAACTTTTCTTACCCCGTTTGACCAGGAGTCTGTTGCTAACTACTTTCCATGTTTTTAACTCCTAAACTATTGACAAGTGCAGTGCTCTTAACTGATCTCTGGTTGGTAAAGATTAGAGTCACATATTGTATTTATTTACAGTGGCAGATAGTATTTTTTTAAACATGCAAATAAGTACGTTGTTTCCTCAGAGAGATCTTAGATTGAATATTGTCCCTAAGCAGTCACTGAAGAAATGTAATCATCCGGCTTCTTGACTATACATCCACTTCTCTGAGTTTGTATACCCTTCACTGCTTCCACTTTAGAGGACAGAACTTATAATGGTCTTTAACTTGTTCTGATTTCTAGGCCTTGGATTTCAGCCTTGATGGAAATGTCAACCTGACAGAACTGACACTGGCTCTTGAAAATGAACTTCTGGTCACCAAAAATGGCATTCACCAGGCGGCTCTGGCCAGCTTTAAGGCTGAGATCCGACATTTGCTGTGAGTTGGGTAGAAGGTTCACCGGCCCTGTTCCCTTTCCCACTTGTGCGACAAGTCCTTTAGATGCCTGTGACGCATTCTGTAGGCAGATGTGGCTTGTCTCCTAGCATCTCACCTCTGTGAAAACGAGGTAACGCTTAGATTTGCATTAGGCTTTTGAAGGGAGCCATGGAAATGTCTTTCTGTTTTGGAGGGGTTCTGGTTGTCTTGGTTTGGGTTTTGTACTGAAGCAAGCCAGATGAGAGCTTTTCTGGGTCTCCTTGTTGCTTAGAGACAGTTTCCCTTGAACTCTGTCTATTTCTCATTCTAGGGAGCGGGTTGATCAAGTGATCAGAGAAAAAGAGAAGCTACGGTCAGATCTGGACAAGGCTGAGAAGCTCAAGTCTCTCATGGCTTCAGAGGTGGATGATCACCATGCGGCCATAGAGCGGCGGAATGAGTACAACCTCAGGTGTGACTGGTAGGGCCACGTCCCTCCCTCCCACCACCCTGGCCCCTCTCGGTGGGGGTCAGCCTGCCTGCCTGGTTGGCCACACCCGGCTGGAGGGCCGTAGGTGTGGTCAAGCCTAAAGGAAAGCGGGACATATTAGGTCCTTCAAGGAGCTTCCCATCTCTGTGACTTTCTGTTTCCATTTTTGATGGATCTGCATTGGACCTCTGAGGGACTTGATGGCAGCTCATTGGCCTTCCTTTCTCACAGGAAACTGGATGAAGAGTACAAGGAACGGATAGCGGCTTTAAAGAATGAACTCCGGAAGGAGAGAGAACAGATCCTGCAGCAGGTGGGCAAGCAGCGTTTGGAACTTGAGCAGGAAATCGAAAAGGCAAAAACAGAAGAGAACTACATCAGGGACCGCCTTGCTCTCTCTTTAAAGGTAATCCTCCTATTAGGTCTCTGGCCTGTGTCCCTGCTGGGGATACTGCCTGGAAAACTAGGGCTCCATTAAGAGGATGGTCTGCACAGGGCTCAGTCCCAGGATTCCTGGAAGTTTGCCTTGCTGAGTCATGACCCAGACATGGCCGAGCCCCTGCTGGGATCCAGATTTCAGGGGTAGCCAGGTTTCTGGTTTGCTGACAGTGCTGATTAGTGGATCTTGTTCTTCTTCCCCCCCAAGTTGCACTGAGTCCTTAGGGCTGTTGGACACCTGGTCGAGGCCCTCTCCGTTCCCTGTCTCCCACCCCAGGTCAGAGCAGGTGGCATTATCTCCTGCCACACAGAGCTCAGCAGCTTTGTTTCTTTGCTTCCAAATATGTCTTTTGCCTTACACATCCTCCTCTCCTTTCCTGTGTCTCAGGAGAGGAAGCGATCTTTCTCTTCATTGGACTGTGGTACAGTGTAGCAGGGTAGCCTAGAGATAAAGGGGGTCTGTTGTGGACTCAGTCTGCCTAGTTCCATTCTGGATACCATACTGGAACACCTTGATCACGTTATCCCAGCCTGTTTCCTTGTGTAGAAAGGAGCGTATTTAAATATGTGGATTAAATGAGATGCTGCATATGCAGTGTTTGGAAGGTAATAAATATACAAAGAATATTAACTGTTGTTCCGAAACTCCACACATGAAAAACTGAGCGAATTCTCCCACCCTCACCATCAAATTGCTTCCTTTTCGGAATTTTCTCCGTAATCTACATCATGACCATGTGCTGTCACAGAAGCTAAAATCCTCAGTCGTCCTCACTCATCGGTCTCTCAGACCTGCCGATGCGCTGAAAGGTCTCTCAGATTTATCCCCTTCATCTCCGTCTGCAACCTCTGCAGAGGTTCGGAATTCATCAGAATTTCTCAGCTGACCTGTGTGTATCTTTTCTTCCATCTCCCCACCGTCCCTATGACCCCCAGAGTTACCTTACTGAAGAACTGACTGAAGAACACGCTGTTACGCTTCGTTAAAGTGCAGCATGGTAGCACCGAAGGCCCCTGGAACGGAGCCTGGCCTCCTGCTTTTCCAACTGCAGGTCCCACCAGTAGCCTCCCGCCCCCCAGCCATGGCCCTGACCCGACCGCAACTGCCCTCAGCTCTCTTGGTTCCTCAGCGGGTCTTTAGGCTCCTTCACTGCTTTCTCCAACACGGCAGACCACAGGACTCTTTCATTCCCATGATGCTTGCTTTTTTCTTGCCAGAAGAGAAGGCATCACAGATGACCGTATCTACATCTGTCTCCCTCCCCACAGTCCAGATTGTGTTTTCCCTGTGGTCAGCAACAGAATCTGATTGGTTAGTTTCCACAGCACCAGCACAGGCCTGATACGCAGAGATTGCTCCTAACTGTTTTGACATCTAAATTTAGACATACTTTGAAAGATTAGAGTTTTAGAACTGGCATTTTGGGAGAAGGTGGGGTTTTTTTTTGTTGTTTTTTTTAAAGAAAAAAACTCTTCAAACACATTCTTTTTTTATTCCATATTGCTATGTGAGGGTGTGAACTAGAATGTATTAAAAATATACTGGCTTTATATTCTTTTGGCAAAATATACTTTGAAAATAATGTTCTTCCAATTAGCCTTTAACACTGGAACAGAACATACGTCTAAATGCACGTCTGTGAGGTTTAATTTATTTTTTTAAGCAAATGTGGGTAGAAATCTAACAAGTATTATATATACAGGAAAAAAACATCTTTTGTGGACTTCAGTTAATGTGTTATTTTATTATAATATAAACATACAAGTTATGAAAAACCTTTATGTGCAGCTTTTATAGTATCAATAAAATTGATTTTCATTATTCTACTTTTTATACTTTTCTGAGTTCTTTTGCTATCAGATGAACAAGGTTTCCTGCCACCAATTTTGACAATATATTGAGAATGTTTTTCATGTCATTAAATATTATATTGCAATGCTATCCAGTAGAAATACAGTGCAAGCCATATATGTAACTTCACATTTTCAAATGGCTGCATAAAGTGAAACAGGTGAATTTAATTCTGAATTTTATTTAATCCAGTATCTCTAAAACATTATTTTGACACATAATCAATATACAAAAATTATTATTGAGCCATTTTACATTTTTGCCTTCTCAAAATCTGGTGTTTTATATACTTAGAGTACATCTCAGTTTGTGCTATACACATATTTCAAGTGCTCACTACCCACATGTGACTGCTAGTTGCTGCCATATTAGCATCATTCTGTAGGATCAAAGAAAGAGGAGGCAGACTTTTGGGTTATAAGATAAATATCAATTTTTTTATATTTACTTTTGTCCTCTCTAATCTACTGAAACTTTGAAGATGAACAAATTCTCTCAATCTAGGGCACGAATTTATGCATCCTATAAAAAGATACAACAGTTTGCTTATTTTTAGTTCAGTGTCCATTTAATTTCCCCAAATTTCTTCAGGAAAACAGTCGTCTAGAAAATGAGCTTCTGGAAAATGCAGAGAAGTTGGCAGAGTATGAGAATCTGACAAACAAACTCCAGCGAAATTTGGAAAACGTGTTAGCAGAAAAGGTAAATCTGTTTAAATTTGATCTCCTGACACGCAGCCCAAAGTGTAGTTTACTCAAAAGAGTAGAAGCAATGCCACCAAGGAAATGTCTATGAGGGAAGTATTTAGATGGTTCAAGGAGGCCGTCGGTTTGGCAGGGATGTAATTTCAGAGCTTGGATACGAAGGAAACATTGCCTGGCACTGAGAAGTGATCCCTGCCTTAGTTGAACACATCACTCTAGTATGTTCTTCCCATCATCCAGTTGGTAATGTTCTGCTTAAATGTCACATTCCTTTCATACTCAAGAGACCATACTCTGCGTGAACACCAGAAAGTGGGGCCTTTGGTGGGTTAAAGGTCTAAGAGGGACACTTGGGGAAAATGAAAACTATGTCCTTTTCCTCTTCTAGTTTGGTGACCTTGATCCCAGCAGTGCTGAATTCTTTCTGCAAGAAGAGAGGCTGACGCAGATGAGAAATGAATATGAGCAGCAGTGCAGGGTGAGTGACTAAAGAGAACCTAATACGTGGAAGAGGGCCTGGGTTCAAATCCCACTTCACCATTTACTAGTGACCATAAGCAAGTCACTTAATAATCTGTGGGTGCCTCAGTTCCTCATCTGTAAGATTGGTAAACATAAGGGTACCCTCTCAGTAGGTTGTTGAGAAGAGTCAATGAGTGAATATTTGTAAAGTGCTTAGAACAGAGCCTGGAACATTAGTAAGCACTTAACCCAAATGTTAGGTGTTATTATCTAGTATCCCCAAAATATTAGGGAATCAGGCAAACTGCATTTAAGTCTGCCTTATCTAGGTCAGAAATTGCTAGTGCTTAGAGGAGAATATAGTTTTATTCCAAGTGGAGAAATATGTGGTCATGTTGATGCCTTAATCAAACACTGCAGACCTAATCTGATGTAATTTGCTTTTGTCCTGTGGTTTTTGGGGTTTTTTTCTGAATACATTCCTTATTTTATTCACAAAATGCAAATAAAGCAAAACCACTCAAGTCTTTAGCCAGTAAATCATCACAGATTCCTACCAGAACTGGCACAAAAACAGACATATAGACCAATGGGAACAGAATAGAGAGCCCAGATATGGACCCTCAACTTTATGGTCAAATAATCTTCAACAAAGCAGGAAAAAATATGCAATGGAAAAAGGACAGTCTCTTCAGTAAATGGTCCTGGGAAAATTGGACAGCCTCAGGCAGAAGAATGAAACCGGACCATTTCCTTATACCATACACAAAGATAAACTCAAAATGGATGAAAAACCTCAATGTGAGACAGGAATCCATCAAAATCCTAGAGAACATAGGGAATAACCTTTCGACATTGGCCAGAGCAACTTCTTTCATGACACGTCTCCAAAGGCAAGGGAAACAAAAGCGAAAATGAACTTTTGGAACTTCATCAAGATAAAAAGCTTCTGCACAGCAAAGGAAACAGTCAACAAAACAAAGAGGCAACCCACAGAATGGGAGAAGATCTTTGCAAATGACACTACAAAGGGCTGGTATCCAAGATCTATAAAGAACTTCTGAAACTCAACACCCAAAAAAAACAAATAATCAAGTCCAAAAAATGGGCAGAAGACGTGAACAGACACTTCTCCATAGAAGACATACAAATGGCTAACAGACACATGAAAAAAGTGTTCATCATCCTTAGCCATCAGGGAAATTCAAATCAAAACCACATTGAGATACCACCTTACACCAGTTAGAATGGCAAAAATTGACAAGGCAAGAAACAACAAATGTTGGAGAGGTTGTGGAGAAAGGGGAACCCTCTTACACTGTTGGTGGGAATGCAAGTTGGTACAGCCATTTTGGAAAACAGTAGAGGTTCCTCAAAAAATTAATAATAGAGCCACCCTATGACCCAGCAATTGCACTACTGGGTATTTACCCCAAAGACACAGATGTAGTGAAAAGAGGGGGCACCTGCACCCCAATGTTCATAGCAGCAACGTCCACATAGCCAAACAGTGGAAAGAGCCAAGATGCCCTTCAACAGATGAATGGATAAAGAAGATGTGGTCCATATAGACAATGGAATATCACTCAGTCATCAGAAAGGATGAATACCCAACTTTTGCATCAACATGGATGGGACTGGAGGAGATTATGCTAAGTGAAATAAGTCAAGCAGAGAAAGTCAATTATCATATGTTTGGAACATAAGGAATAACACAGAGAAGGAAGGGAAAAATGAAGGGGGCGGAAATCGGAGGGGGAGACAAACCATGAGAGACTATGGACTCTGAGAAACAAACTGAGGGTTTTAATGCGGGGAGGGGGGTGTGGGGATGGGTTAGCCCGGTGTTGGGTATTAAGGAGGGCATGTAGTGCACGGAGCACTGGGTATTTTACGTGAACAATGAATCATGGAACACTACATCAAAAATTAATGATGTACTATATGGTGACTAACATAACATTAAAAAAAAAAAAAAATCCCTACCAGAAAAGACAAAAACATCCTTATAAATAATAGCAATCTTTGATTTTTTTTTTTTAAAGTAACTCTCCTAAGTTTAGGAATTTGGGATTTTTTTTCCTTAAATCACAAACACTTACTGATTTTAACAAGGGAAAATATAACAGTTCTAACTACTTTAGATGAAAATTGTACTCGTCCAGAAATGAGGAAAATAATCACTTCCTTATGAGGTTGCTTATAGCCTGCCTTCCCAGGAAATACACGTGCACATTTTGAGAAAAGAAATGAAACAATGCCACTTTTACAATTAAGGTTTGGTTCTTGGCTCTAATCACGTAGAGGTGTTTTCCTTATAGATCTTTAAAGTTATGATTTCTTTAGTAAAATCTGTCCTCTCTCTCCCCAAATTCCCCAAATCCCCCAAATCCATTCAGTGTTCTTTTTAAAAATAGATTTATATACCATTCACCCATACAATTCACCCATTTAATGGGTATAGTTCAGTATCTTTTAGTATATTCACAGAATTGTACAATGATTACCATAATCGAGGTTAGAACATTTTCATCACCCCAAAAAGAAACTCCCGTTCCACTTAGCTGTAATCACTCCCTAGGCAACTAATAATATACTTTTTGTCTCTGTAGATTTGCCTATTCTTTACATTTCACATAAACAGAATCATACAACATGTGGTCCTTTGCCACTGGCCTCCTTCACTTACTGTAACGTTTTCATTGTTCATCCATGTTGTAGCATGTATCAGCACTTCTTTTAATTGCTGCGTTATATTCTCTTGTATGGTTATACCGCATTTATCCATTCACTAGTTGATGAACACTGGGCTTAGTCTGTTATGAATAATGCTGCTATGAACATCTGTGTGCAGGTTTTTGTGTGGATAGGTTTTCATTTCTCTTGGGTATATATCTAGGAGGGGAATTGCTGGGTTATAAGATTACTGCGTGTTTAACCTTTGGAGGAACCGCCAAACTTTTCCCAAGGGGTTTGTACCGTTTTACACTCCCGCCAATGTGAGAGTTCCAGTTTCTGCACATCCTTGCCAACAGTTCTTGCTGTGTCTTTTGGAGTCGAGCCATCCCTAGGGGTTATGAAGTGGTGGGTGTTTTATTTGCATTTCCCTGATGACGAAAGATTTTGAGTATCTCTTCAAGTGCTTTTCAGCATATCTCTTTTGGAGAAAGGTCTATTTGAAATCCTTTGCCTATTTTTAAATGGATTGTCTTTTTATTATTGAGTTGTAATAGTTCCTTATAGATTCTAGTTACAAGTCCCTTATCAGACCACATAATTTGCAAAAACTATTCTGCCACTCTGTGGGTTGTCTTCTTACCTTCATGATACTCTTCGAAACAAAAGTTTTTAGTTTGGTGATGTTGTTTACTTTTTCTTTTGCTGCTTGTGCTATAAGACTGGTGTTGGTTTTTAAATTCGAGGTATTACAAGACCAAGTGGATGAACTCCAGTCTGAGCTGGAAGAATTTCGCACACAAGGCAAAGTGTTGAGACTTCCCTTGAAGAACTCACTGTCAGAAGAACTTGATGTTAACACGGGTTGCATCGAGCCTGACCAGAGTAAGCCATTCCGACATCATCTTTTCAGAGGCTGTGCCTTTGGTTTTTACTGTTAGGGACATGTTTGAATGTAAAATTGCACAACTTTGGCAACCAACAAAAACTAAACAGAAAAACCCTGGCAATATTTTCTTGAGCTATTTCACTTGTGGTCTGTTTTTTCATTTGTCTTTAAAGTCTTTCTGAAAATATTTCTGATTTTTATGTGTACCAGCAAAGGAATGGAAAAATCAAACCACAAGGATATTTGCTTTGTTTAAAAAAAAAAACAAAAAAACTGTCCTCAAGTCTGAGAATCTAAGGCCTTGGGAGTGTAAGAATTCAGGCACTGAGCTCTTGAATCCTCCCTTTCTTAAGGAGTGCCTCACGGGGATGGTGATGGTTTGGGAGACCAGGGCAACCAGAAACCAGGATTCAGTTTTCTCACGCCGGCTTTGTTAAATATCAGCATTGTCTCTGTAAAACAACAAATAAATAAGTGTTGGTTGACTGCGCCTTTGAGGAGGATTTTGGGTGGCGAGGTGGAAAGGCAGAGTTGTCTGGCAGCCCTGCTCCATGCGTTATTAGCTCTTTTCCTCCCTCCTGCTATTCTGCCTCTTTCCTCCCTGTCCTGAGTTTGAATTTCAGAAGGGGCTCATAATAAATTCTTCTGTTATAGTCTTCTCCACTGCTACAGAAGTACAGTCCTTACAAGGTTTGTTTATTACTCTTCGTATCTATTCATTGTAGAATAAATAAGGGATTGGGGAGGGGACTGGGTGAAGACCTTTCCTGTGGTTCTAAGTACGCGGTCGGTAGCCTTACTGTAGTGTGAGGATGGAGCCCAACGGATCGTATGATGCATCTCAGAAGCTTTTCTGGAACTTTTTCTGTAGTGTTGGGCATCCTCCTCATAGGTGTGTGAAGCTGTGCCATCTTGGGTTTGCTTACACCCCAAGTATCTCTTCTCAGTTGGGGATATGCCAACTGAAAAGAAAGAATAGATGAAAAGAAACTCCAAGGCAAGACTGTCAATCCGAGATGCCAGACAGGCCCTTTCTCCCATCTGCCTATGGGCCCCCACAGGAAAAACGTTTTTGAGTCCCCTGCCTTCGGAGATTTCCACACAGTATTAGACATCATCACTTTGTCTGTGTACTGGCTCAGCCTCCAATTTATGCTTCACATTTCAGTGTTCTTCTCAGTTGCCATGATGGGCAGTTGTGGAAGTGAACCCATATGTATGAGTTGAGAATTTTTCTCCCAAACTGCCCATATCTAGGTTCCTAACCAATGCCCTATTTTTTAAAATTTTAGCTGATAATTTAAAATGGGGTTCCACTTGCACTATAGGAAATCAATATTATAATACTCAATCTTCTGTAACTGAGTGGTGGGTTTGAGATCTTGACCCATGAAGGTAATGCCTCCGGGCATCTTCTGCCACGCTGCCCTCTGCTAGTTTGTCTGATGGATAGAAGGCTGGTTGGTTTCACCAAGTTACCTCAGTCCACAGCATTTTCGTTTAGAAGGTCACCTTTGAACAGTTTCCACCCCTACCCCTACCCACCTACTCTTCAAAAAGATGGATTCTATTAAGGTTTGGCACAGAGTCTGCACATGAAACAGTCTTACCGTACTGCCTGTTCACCTTCATTTTTAATACTTGAAAACAAGAAACCTCTTGGCTTCTATGGTTTCCTAGTAGATCTCATTAGTGGTAATTTAGGCTGAAAATTTTTCCTTAGTTTAACTGGATGTCCCTCCTCAGATGCCAGTTGTGTTATTGAAAGAACCTGCCGCAGGGTCAACAGATCCCATGTGTTTTCAGGGCTTGGTTCTGAAGAATGCAATCCATTGAATATGAGCATCGAGGCGGAGCTGGTCATTGAACAGATGAAAGAACAACATCACAGGGACTTATGTCGCTTGAGACTGGAGCTTGAAGAAAAAGTAAGTCCTTCTTATCCTGTTCTCTCATTTCTTTGAGCTCTGACAAGCTTTTGCATGTAGGACATTCTTAATTCTTTTTACTCATAGATAATCACCTTCTATGCATTTCCTCTTGTGTCTGGAGGCTACCAAAAACCCCCTTCCTCATGATGGTTTCGTAGGCTGAGCATGAGGCCTTTTCCTCCTAGGAGAGAATTTCTCCAGAATGTATTCTCTTCAGCCCTAGCAAGCATGAAACTTGAAGGCCAATACATTATTTCCAACTGGTCCCAAAACATCTTAATAAAACCAAAAAAGCCCTTTGATATAGCTAGCATTAGGTACAAGTTCTGAATCTTCACCTCCAAAACCCTCCACGATGTTGCTTCGACTTATATTTTTAGTCTTTTCTTTTACCTTCTCTTGTCAAACCAGTAGTTGGCTGTTCTTCGTCAAACTGTCCTCTTTTGTTCGTGCTATTACATGCTATGTGATTTCTTTCTATCTCTTGAAACTCTCCTTCCCTTTCAGAGTTTATATCAAATGCTACCTCTTGCATGAACCCATTCCTGAACACCCTTGACCAAATGTGATATTTTTCCCTCTTTGGATCTCCAGGTTACATCATAGCTCTCTGTTTTCTATACCTTTTATATTTTTCAGTCTGCCTTGTGGTATACTTGTTTGTACTTGTCAAAACCACGTCTAGGGTGGTTTCTCCTGGATGGCAGGACTGTATCTTACCCAATATCGTGTCCCCACAAAGCCCACAGAATGCCTATGATAGGTGTTCAAGAAATATTTGAATTTAATTAGTTTAAGACCCTACATCTACAGTTGGACAGGATGCCTGGGAAGACAAATGGTACCTATGTGAAAGTCTACTCATTTTTATCGGAGTTGTTCAGAAACTAATAAAATTTGGGGCACCTGGGTGGCTCAGTTGGCTGAGCGTTGGACTCTTGATTTCGGCTCAGGTCATGATCCCAGGGTCATAGGATGGAGCCCTGCATTAGACTCCCCACTCAGTGCGGAGTCTGCTTGAGATTCTCTCCTTCTGCTCCCTGCCCCTCGCCCTGCTCGTGTGCATGTGTGCACTCTCGCTCTCAAATAAATAAATAAATAACATCTTTAAAAAATAATAAAATTCGGGGTGCCTGGGTGGCTCAGTTGGTTAAGCGACTGCCTTCGGCTCAGGTCATGATCCTGGAGTCCCTGGATCGAGTCCCGCATCGGGCTCCCTGCTCGGCAGGGAGTCTGCTTCTCCCTCTGACCCTCCTCCCTCTCATGCTCTCTGTCTCTCATTCTCTCTCTCGCAAATAAATAAAATCTTAAAAAAATATATATATATAAAAAATAATAAAATTCAACGGAGTTAAAAAGGAAAGCAAACTATGCTTGACTCAAATATATCTTATTTAACATGTTTTAAAGTTGTTAAAATGGGAAAACTGAAGAATGTCTCATGTCTCATAGGCAAAAAGTAGCTTACAGCCCTGATCACCTTTCCACGGCCTTGAGTTGAGTAACATTATGGTGGTTTTGCTTTCTGACCCTAGGTGCACCGTTATGAAAAGCAGCTAGATGAAACCAAGGTTGCCTGTGAAAAGGAGCAAGAGAACATGAAGCAAAAGTATGAGAATGAAGTACATGTCTTAGAAAAACAAATAAGTGACCTTAAAAATGAAATTACAGAACTTCAGGGCCAGACTGGGGTGCTCAAGGAGGCACAGCATACAACTATCTGCAGACACGAGGATGAGAAAAAAGAACTGCAAAAGAAGTGGGATGAGGAAAAGACTCACCTGCAGGAGAAGCTGAGGTTGGAACATGAGTTGGAACTCAAGGCTAGCCTAGAGCAGGCAGAGGAAAGCTTTAACCGAGAGAGAGAAGGACTCATTCAAAATGGTGCCTGGACAGAAGAGAAAGTGAGAGGCTTGACTCAGGAACTAGAACAGTTTCACCAGGAGCAGCTTAAAAGCCTGATGGAGAAGCACACTCTTGAGAAAGAGGAGTTGCGAAAAGAGCTCTTGGAAAAACACCAAAGGGAACTTCAAGAGGGAAGGTAAGAAAATAGGGGAAATGGAGAAACCCAGGGCACTATACCTTGGGGGCACCAGAAGTTCCAGTCAGTTAAGGAGACTTTGACTAGACTCTAGCTTCTCAGCCCATTTACCCACAGACATAAGCCTACCCTGGGGTTATTGGAACTGTTTTGTTTTTTTCAAAGACCGTATTTCTTGTATCAACAAGTATCCTTTCAGGTTCCAGATAAGAATAATTATTGTGTCCGAGAAACGCTATTTGTAAGCTAAATTCTGGGTAAAGTTCTATTCCTCCCCAAAGCGTGAAATGCCGCTTTGTGCTTACCTTCCTCACGTGAAATCTCAGGTACATTTGAGGGCTTTGATGCTTCATTTTATGATTAACTGGGTGCTGCTTTATTAAATAAGAAGGAAAAATGTAATGATTATGTTAATAGGTATGGTTTATAGGACTACTGTCCTTGCAATGTATACTTAATTAAAATGAAGGAATTTTATATATTTCCCAAGTTAGGGATTAGGTTAATATGCGTTTGATCATTGATGTAAAATCAGCTTACATTTTCCATAAACAAACACATCCCAGGAGTATGCCAAAGAAGTTGGTTTCCAAATTTTCCCTCTAAGTGCAGAGAGAGGTAAGTCTTATAAATTAATTATGGCTGCCAGTCCTAGCTCTCAGAAATGAGATCCTGTCTTTGTAGAAATCAATTACGTAGGAATAAGTGAGGGCCGTTTTTAGAAAGCGTTTAGATTGTGTGCCTGGCAACTTCTTCTGTGCATGGGGAACTGTTTTTTGTTTGCTTCTCGAATTGGTGGCAGTTTCAGTAATGCTGTATGTTGACTACATTTAGGGAAAAAATGGAAACTGAGTGTACTAGAAGAACCTGTCAGATAGAAGCCCAGTGTCAGGCTGATTGTCAGAAAGTCACTGAGAGGTGTGAAAATGCCCTGCGAAGCCTGGAGGGGCACTACCACCACGAGCTGAAGGAGCTCCTGGAACAGCAGCTTGAAGAGAGATCCCAGTGGGAGTTTGAGAAGGACGAGCTCACCCAGGAGTGTGCAGAAGCCCAGGAGCAGCTGAAAGAGACTCTCCAAAGAGAGAAAGCCACTTCTCTGGTCCTGACCCAGGAGAGAGAGATGCTGGAGAAAACCTACAAAGAACATTTGAATAGTATGGTTGTTGAAAGAGAGCAGCTACTCAAAGACCTGGAAGATCTAAGAAATGTGTCAGAAAGTCAGCAAAGCCTACTGTCCGACCAGATCCTTGAGCTGAAGAGCAGTCGTGAAAGGGAGCTGAGGGACGGCGAGCAGGTCCTGGGCCGGGCAGGTGCCTCGGGGCATCTGGCCGGCCAGCCGCTGGAGAAGCTAGCAATGGAACGGGACCGGGAGGAGCAGGAGATGGTGTCCGGGCTGCAGGCCATGGAGAGTGTCCACAGAGTGACCTGTGAGAAAGCAGACCAAGAGAGGGCTGAGATGAGCACAGACATCTCCAGGCTTCAGAACAAAATTAAGGAAATGCAGGAGGCATCTCCTCCGTCCAGGAGAGAGAATGGCTGCCAGACGGCAGGAGGGGAGGCGGTGGAAGGCAGTGGAGCCATGTCCCTGCTCCAGCAAGGAAAGCAGCTGTTGGAAGAGAATGGAGATGTCCTCTTAAGCCTGCAGAGAGCTCATGAGCGAGCAGTGAAGGAAAATGTGAAAATGGCCACGGAAATTTCGAGATTGCAACAGAAGCTGCAAAAATTAGAGCCGGGCTCGGTAATGTCTTCTTGTTTTGATGAGCCAGCTACTGGGCTATTTGGAAATTCTGTGGAACAAACAGAGCCCTTTTTGTTGCCACATCAAATGAAACAAGTAGAAGGTGTAAGCCCACCTTGCGTCCTCAGTGACCTACCGGACGATGAGGCCCCGGATTTGGGCAGTCCAGGGACGGGCTCTGCTCAGAGACGGGCGGTCAAAATGGAGGAGTCTGAAGCATCAATGGAGAGTTTTTCCGAGCTCGAAAATAGCGAAGAGACCAGGACTGAGACCTGGGACCTGAAGAATCAGATTTGTCAGCTTAAGGGACAGCTAACGATCCTGCGTGCAGACTGCAGTCGAGCTTCTGAAAAGAAACGGGACCTCCTTTTTGACGTCGCCGTGCTGAAAAAGAAACTGAAGATGCTTGAGAGAATCCCCGAGGCTTCCCCCAAGTATAAACTGCTGTATGAAGATGCCAGCAGGGAAAATGACTGTCTCCAGGAGGAGCTGCGAGTGATGGAGACGCGCTACGACGAAGCCCTCGAAAGTAACACAGAGCTCACTTCGGAAGTTTTCAAACTGCAGCACGAGCTAAAGAAAGCGGAAGAGGCGACGGAAACGTTCTTCAGCCTGGAAGAGAGTTACGGTGAAGTCAAGAGAGAAAACGAGGAGCTGCATGTTCTGGTTTTGAGACTTGAGGGTGAGCTGGAGAAGCTGCAGGCCAGAGCGGCGCTCCAGCGTGACTGCTGCTTATGGGAAGCCCGCTTGGCTAAGCTGGAAGTCCCGCCCGATGGGAAGGTGCCCGAACCCCACCAGACGCTGGAAGAGTGTGTGCCCGAGGTGAGGGACGTACACCGTATCCTAGAAGAACATTATCAAGACCACCAGTACCTCGAGCAGGAGAATACACAGCTTCTGGAAAGAGTACAGGCATGTGAGATTGCCTGGCTACACAGACGAGTCCGGACACATGGAGAACAGCCCCGAGTACAGAACCAGGTTTTACCGGAGGAAGAAGACACTGCCCTCCTAGGCCTTCAAGACAGACACCTTGCGCGTCAGGCCACGATAGCAGAGTTAGAACTGGAGAAAAAAAAGCTGCAAGAGCTGACCAGGAAGTTGAGGGAGAGAGTCGCCGCTTTAGTTAAGCAAAAAGGTGTACCTTGTCAAGGAGAGAACGAGGAGGAGCTGAAGGCAATGATGCACGACTTGCAAATCACGTGCAGTGAGATGCAACAGAAAGTTGAACTTCTGAGGTAACGTATATGCCTTCTGAGCTCCCTGGACTCCCAAGAGCACCTCACCACATCTAACTCCCACTGCTTGCTCTGCCTGGAGAAACTAACCTGTTAGCCTTCGAGAAGAGAGCGCTACTGTAGACTTCTTTCTGCTTCTGTGTCGCATTAACAAATAGAATAACCTGGCCTAGGAGGCATTCCCTTCCTCTATGGGAGATAAATGTCGTTCGTTGGGGGTGTCATAATGGAGAGAGTGTGCCATTTAACCATGTGCATCATCAGTGTATGTCAAGTCTTTAACTCTTTCTCTAGCGTTTCATTTGGATCGATAGTTGTTTTGGTTTTGGTTTTGGTTTTTGCTCAATGTTAGTTATTTTCTTCATGTGATGGAACGTGTTCTTTGAGAATGCCGTTTGTTTATTATTAACTCACTTGGTAGATGAGAACCCTTATCCTGTACTAATGTAGGAAAAATGTCATGCTTTGTGGCTTACAGTTTTTCCCTCATAGCACTTGAAGTACATGGCTCATACTCTCTGTAAACAATGGAAATTCATCTTAGAACATAGAATTTTATTGAAGAGCTATTAGAGTCTTATAAATGTGCTCGAAATAAAGATAAAAAATGAAACTAATTTGAACATTGCTCACTTGACTTTATATGAGTGCAATTGTCTTCTAGCAAATTTGGTTTAAAAAAAAACTTGTAAAATATTACATGTTTCTGAAATATCTTGATAGGAAACAAAGTAATTCTAGATGTAGTTTTTCCTCTTCAGACCATTTTTAGTTCTAAAAATCAGAATGTAATGAGCCGAAAAAAAATCACAAAGTAAACATGAATGTACATATTTCAGTGTGGTCCTTTGACTTATGTACTGAATTCTCTTTCTCTAGGAACCCTGAGGCCTGTAACTAAAGCTATACAGCTTAGTATTAGGCTTATGCTTATCCGGCGCCCAGAGCAAGTAGGACTTGAGACTGAGATAAATGAAGTTATTTGCTCAAAGCTGTATGGTTGCCGCTGAAAAAAATTAGCAACCATGGTGGGCAGAGTCTCAATTCCTGTCTCTGTGCTCAAGTGTTTTAGCCACACTTCCCTAACGTCTTTTTGTGAAATTCTTAACTTCCCAAAAGAAATGAGTCAATATGTCATAGCTTGACTTCCATTACTAAGAGTCTACTAATTTTGACTTCTCTTTTTAATGGGCATGGACTGCTTGTTTTATTGGAAGTTACTAGAAAGCATTTTCCAAAGATGCCAGATGACTGCCTTGTTATAACTTTTTTTTTTTTAATCTCTGTAATTCAGATATGAATCTGAGAAGCTTCAAGAAGAAAATTCTATTTTGAGAAATGAAATTACTACTTTAAATGAAGATGATAGCATTTCTAACCTGAAATTAGGGAAATTAAATGGGTCACAGGAAGAAATGTGGTAAGACATATACTTACATTTTCTTCAGGCATTTTTGCAAGGACTAAAACTGTTTTTCTTCAACTTTTAAAGCCTAACTCTTAGGTTATATTTTCACTGTCCCTTTAGGCAAAAAATAGAAACTGTAAAACAGGAAAAAGCTGCAGTTCAGAAGATGGTTGAAAATTTAAAGAAACAGGTAAGGAGATACTTAGTATTTCCCAGTGTTTCTTGATTCTGAAGTTTTCTTTGTTTGTAATTTATAGCATATGCTACTAGAGTAACATGTAGCTAATGACAGTAAAGTTGTAAATCTGGAGTTTCAGAATGGAAACTCACCCCATGCTGACTCTAAACTAGGTTTCTGTTTTTTGGTGAATATTATAATATATATACTACTTCTAGATTTTGAGGGCTTAATACAAGCTTTATAATCAGTGGGAATGGGGAGATGGTACCTCTGAAACGATCTGTGAAATACTAGCTCTATCCCTCACATTCTTTCAAGTAATCCTTCCTCTTTTATCACCGTGATTGAAACCAGAAAGTTAAGGACGCAGTTTCACAGATCTAGAGTAATGTTTCATCAGTCTATCTTTGCATAGAATTGCAGTGTATTCAGATAGCTTGTGCTGTGTGTAATCTCACAACATGCAATTGTGCAGGGAAAGTCCATTTAAGAATCTGTCTGAAATAGCCGAAAGACAAGGACATCCTGGGTAAAGAGCATTTTCAGGACTTAAAACAGACAAGGTCCTAACATCCAAAATATATTCTGTACTGTTACAAATAAATGGCAAAACACCAGTTGAAAAACAGATAATTGGTTTGAGTAGTCAAGGAAAGGAAAAAACAAATACAACGTATAAAAAGATAGCCTAATTAGGGAAGTGCAAATTAATTTTCCTTTTTTCATCTTTCAGATTAGCAAAAATTAAAGATACCATCTCTTCTTTAAAAAGGGGTGAAGAAATGAATGTACTCATACATTTTTGGTAGGAGTATAAGTTGGTAGCACTGTGAGGAAGATACTTTGGGGATATCTATCAAAACAGTGATGTGTATGCAGACCTCCTAACCCAGCAGCCCCACTTCTAAGAAAATGATCCTAAATATAAAATGCTGCCATGTATAAATGAATTTTTCAAAAGGTTGTTGTGTTTCTTCATAATGAAAAGAATGATAAACTTATATGTCTGTCAGTGTGAGAATGGATAAATACATTATGGAATGTCTTAACACATAGAATATGCTATAACCACTAAAAAATACAGCATGTGGTGGTTTCCGAATACACTGACTTAGAAAGATGATAAAAGTCTGTGAGATATAATTATAAGTGGGAAAAGCAGGCTGTCCAAACATCTGAAATGATTCAAATTTTTGTTTTAAAGAGGAGAAAAACCTCTATGTGCATATGAGTTTTGTATATACGTAGAAACCAATCTGGAGGGATACAGACCCAGCTGTGAACAGTGGCTGCCCCCGTGGAGTTAGACTGAACCAAGGGTCTGTCACTTCTCCATACATTTCCCAATTGATGGAGTTTGTAGTAATGAGTGCTGTATTAGTTCTATTAGTAAGGGGGTGTGTGTGTGTACATGTACATATCTATGTATAAAACCTTATCTACGGAGGGGGAAGAACCAGTTAGTCTCTGTTATCTGTTTTTTAGTAGAAGTAGGGTAACTTGTTTGTAAAACTTATTTCAATTTTAATTAGATTGCAGAATTAAAAACCAAAAACCAAGAGTTGGATTTGGAAAATACAGAACTTAGCCAAAAGAACTCTCAAAATGAGAAAGAACTGCAAGAACTTAATCAACGTCTAGCAGAAATGCTGGGCCAGAAGGAGGAAGAGCTGGGACCCAGTGCATTTGAGAAATGGAAACAAGGAGCGTCTCATCGGAAAGAAGAACTGGAACAATGTAGAGTGCAGGTATGGAGGAGAGCCACCCTACAGCCTTAGGGGAGGAAATCCCAAGAAATAAAGTAATGCTGGTATTAAATTTCTTACATACAAAGTTTTAATAATTAAAACAGTGTGGTACCGGCAAATGAATAGGCAAATAGATACATGGAATAGAAGATCTGGGATTAGAGGGCGCCTGGGTGGCTCAGTTGGTTAAGCAACTGCCTTTGGCTCAGGTCATGATCCTGGAGTCCCGGGATCGAGTCCCGCATCGGGCTCCCTGCTCGGCGGGGAGTCTGCTTCTCCCTCTGACCCTCCACCCTCTCATGCTCTCTCTCTATCATTCTCTCTCTCTCAATAAATAAATAAATAATCTTAAACCTTTAAAAAAAATTAAAAAAAAAAAGAAGGTCTAGGATTAGACTCCAGCACAGATGGAAACTTAGTGTATAACAAAGGTACCTTCTCAAATCACTGGGGTAAAGATGGATTTTTTTTGTTTTTTTAATAAATGGTTCCTGGACAACTCAGTAGACATTTGGGAACAGATAAAATGAGATGCATATCTTGTACTGTACATAAGGATAAACTCTAATTGGATTAGGAGTCTAAATATAAGAAACAAAACTACATAAGTACTAGAAGAAAACATGGATGAATTTGTCTTTAACCTTAGTGTAGAGAAAAGCTGTCCAACTGTGACTCATAAACCAGAAGCAAAAAATAAATTTTTTTCATGGCAAAAAAAATACCACAAAGCCAAAAGATAATTCACAAACTGGGAGAAAAATATTCACATCACATACCACAGAGAGTAGGGCTAATATCCCTATTATGTAAAGAGCTCTTAAAAGTCCATGGATTTGGGCGCCTGGGTGGCTCAGTTGGTTAAGCGACTGCCTTCGGCTCAGGTCATGATCCTGGAGTCCCTGGATCGAGTCCCGCATCGGGCTTCCTACTTGGCAGGGAGTCTGCTTCGTCCTCTGATCCTATCCCCTCTCAGGTGTTCTCTCTCTCTCATTCTCTCTCTCTCAAATAAATAAAATCTTAAAAAAAAAAAAAATCCATGGATTTGGGGCACCTGGGTGGCTCAGTCGGTTCAGTGCCTTCAGCTCAGGTTATGATCCCAGGGTTCTGGGATCAAGCCCCGCATCAGGCTCCCTGCTCAGCGGGGAGTCTGCTTCTCCCTCTGCTTCTGCCTCCTTTTCCCTGTCCCTCCTGCTCCCTCTGCTTATGCTCTCTCTCTCTCTCCCCCCAGTCAAATAAATAAATAAAATCTTAAAAAGAAAAAAGATGCAAAATTATTTTTTTTAAAAAATCCCTGGACTTAGGACCAAAATCTGATAGCAAACTGGGAAAAACACATGAATAAATAACTCACCAAAAAAAAAAAAAAAAAAAAAGCTAAAAATGTCCCTCAAGCCTGTGGGAAAAAATACCCCAAACTGGGGCACCTGGGTGGCTCAGTTGGTTAAAGCATCTGCCTTCAGCTCAGGTCATGATCTCAGGGTCCTGGGATCAAGCCCCATGTCGGGCTCCCTGCTCAGTGGGGAGTCTGCTTCTCCCTCTGCCCACCCCCTGCTCATGCATGTGCGCTCTTTCTCTCAATCAAATAACTAAATAAAATCTTTAAGAAAAATGCCCCAAATCACTCATAATTAGAAAACTGCAAATAAAAACAACACTGATACATCTTTTCTCAACTATGAGATTGGAAACAATTTAAAAATAGGACTTTCTGTTGGCAAGGCTTTGGGGAAGCAGGCACTTTTATACATTGCTGGTGGGGGTGTAAACTGAGGTTATCCTTCTGGAGGGAGATTTGCCAATTCTTCAACAGAATTACAGATGGGCTTACCATTTGTCCCAGCAATACCATTTCTAGGGATTTACCCTAAAAGTACACCTCCAACAATGTGAATATTCATAACACACAGAGCTTGGAAACAACCTAAATGTTCATATGTAGGAGAATGGTTGGATAAATGTGGTGGATACAGTCACACCGTATAGTAGTAGTATGCAGCTATAAAAGGAAAGAAGGAAAGGAGAGAAGGAAAGATAGAGAGACCTCTACCGATATGAAATTATTTCCAGGACATACTGTTAAGTAAAAAAGAAAAGCACAAAAGTGTATAGGATGCCTCTGTTCATGTAAGAGAGACAAGGACGTGAAAAAAATACACATATACTTGCGCATTTGTGTGAAAGAAACCCAAGAATGATGAACCAGAAACTAAAGATATGGTTACCTACAGTGGGTAGGTGGGAAAGGGATGGAAGAGAGGAATGGGAATGGTGTCAAAGGGAAGAAGGAAGGGAGTATATCTTTTCACATAGCTCTGACTTGTAGAATCATAGCAGTGTTTTCCATACTCTTCACATACCCCAAAATAAACACAATTATAATCGATCAAGATGGCAGGGTATACCAACATGGAATGCAAACACTAAGAATTGAACCTAACTATTATAAATGGATAACGTAATTACAGTGGGGAAGAAAAGAATTAAGTCATTTGGAAATTATTATCTGACTCCATACTGTAGGTCTAAAGATAGAAAGAAGTATATACAAATGCTGTAATAATCTAGTCCGTAAATGTGTTTCTCATGGGGCTAAGTTAGTAATTCTGAAACTCTGTATATTAGAATTGAATAAATAAGTAAATAGATTACAGGCAACAGAACTGAATCTCTCACTGCTGGAGAAGGAAGCTTCAAGTAGGAAAATGAGGAAACTAAAAGGAACCTTCTGGTGTTGGACTGGAATTTGAGGCATTAGTATAAACTCATGTTTCTTAATATATATACACATTGATAGAGGTAGAGATGTGTGTATATGGATGGAGTGCCCAAATCTTGGTTTCTAAACACCATTCTCCTATAGAAGAAACCAGGGCTCCTTGGAAAAATTATTGATTCCAGGCCTGGAGCAGGGAAAATTCAGGATGAGCCCAGATCACCTCATGGTGCCAGAAAGAAAAAAAGTGTTAAAAAAAGATGGGCACATGAAAAGGACACAGAGCCCCACCTGAAGGAGCTCCTAATGGCCAAAGCTGGAATGGTTTGACCAACAAAATAAATAATTCTAGTATAGCATAAGATAAATATAAAATGAAATAAATATGTATGGGCACATCCTGATATTAAAAATTGATTAAATAAATGGGGGAGAAATAACAGCTCTTCCTCACAGAATTCCAATTAATGAATGTAGAAAGAAAGAAGGAAATAGAAAGTCATCATCAGGCAAACACGAGGGTAATAACTGTCGTAGACAAAATCCACTGATAGAAACTAAAGTAAAAAGAAGTTTCAGGAGGAACACGATTTTCATGGTCTCAAACTATCTCCCCCAAGAGAAAGTAACTTTGCAATGGAGAAACCTGCAAAACCCACCTGAGAAATCATGTTCCTACCGTTTGGGTGCACAGTCTTTCAAAAGATAGCTTTGGTTCGTTTCACCGAGGATAATGGTCATAAAACAGCGTGTTACTGAATTGGGGCTAGGGTTTCCTGACTTACTGCTGCCTTTTGTGGATCTAGTAAGTTTCCCCAGGCTACGTGAAGATGTCTGTGACTTGACTTTCTAATTTTTCTACTTAGTCCTCTACTTTAGTGTCTTCTCTGGAGGCAGAACTATCTGAAGTTAAAATACAGACTCATATTGTGGAACAGGAAAACCTCCTTCTCAAAGATGAACTGGAGAAAATGAAACAGGTAAGACTGTGCTGCTTGGAGTGGGCGTCAGGGGGGAGGCTCATAGAACAATATGGTACCTGATGGTCTGGCTTTTCTAACCACCAAATGTCCTTTATACAGACTCCTGTCAACTAGCTTATTGCTCTTAAAACTGAGGGTTTGCAGGACAGGCCCACTTATAGGACTCCTATTGCTAATTCTCTAAATGCTGTTCTAGTTGTGTAACTTACATATGTTGTAGACTGAAATTCTATTACTATAAATCAGTCACAACCATTTCAGTTTAAGAAATTTGTTGTTCTGCTTTCTTCTGGCCAGGTGATAAATATGTGTCTAAAAAGAAAGTGACTTTCTTGCTTGTAACTTTAATAACTATTCATCTAGATTTGTGAGACACAATTCTTAGAACAAGTTTGAGGCTTCTACCCTGGCTAGAGAGTAAATTCTAGAACGTTATCAGGGATGCAGTCTCACTTATGAATTTGACTTTAAGAAGCCTATTTCAAAGTTTCAAACAAAGACTTAATTTTAAATATAAAAGAGGGTTCACCTTAAGGTTATATCCTGAACGTTGTCCTATTTTATTCTTTATTCTGAACTTTTCAGTGGGTACAGGATTTGAGCAATCCTGATTTATGAATAGAATTTAGTTCTGTTTTTTTTTAATTTGCTTCACCAAAGGTTTACTTTGGTATTATGACATCCTTAGATTATAAAATTCTCTCGCTTGTATCTGTTCAGCCTATGAGCATAAAGGTGTCCTCTGAATGCTGAAATATTGAGTCTCTACCACTGAGTTTTATGTTTGTGTTGGTCTGTAGTTGACTCCTATAAGTCTTGATTTCCTAATAGGATTGTAAGACTTCCGGGGAATTTGTGTCCCTTGTAATGCCTAGTGATTGGTACCTGATAGGAGCTTTATAAGAACCTTTTCAAGTCAGATGCTGCTTTGCAAAGTGTATCTCTTCTGCCATAACAGAAACTGTCTGCCGTTATCAACATTCCAGAAGTTAAAACTCATAGGGCCTTTCTGTTGGTGCATAAGTATTCCAAAGCTGTTATTACCAAGTTCATCCTAATTACCATGGGAATACTTTTCTCCTTTACCTTTTGAAAATCCGTTGTTCAGTCTTTAAGATGTTTAATGATGGAGTCCAGATCCACAGCATGAGAAGTGCGTGTTTTGTGACTTCACTAAGCTAAGCATCAGAAGGAAAGGAGTGCGTTGGGGAGTAAAATAGCATGAGGAGGACATCATTTGGTACATTTTTATTGTGTATTTTTTACAGAGGTGTTGTTTATAAATAGTGAAGTGGAAGAATGGTGAGCCCTGTCTGCTTTTGCTAGAAGTTGTATCATGGCACCTGGACTCTTTGGGATTACAACAGTGGGGTAGTATCAGCCCATTGTTGCTGCCCTACAGCTTGGACCTAGGAAGTATGTGCTGCTGTAGAACCCATACAAGTAAAAAGTACTTTGTGAATGAGAAATTCTCTGTTGCACAGAAAAGGAACACAAGTAGCATCAGCAGAAGTCTCATGCCAGTCTCTACACCCAAAATGGTACCAGGCTTTGTGAGGGTCTGGGGATGAGGAGCAAGGTAGTGAGCAAAGGAGACAGGTCCTTTAGTAAACCAAAGCCCAGCTACTTTAAAATATGTTTTCCTACGTTCTTCTGACTTTAGATTTGTAAGGTATGCTGGATTTGTTGTCAGTTGAAGATTCAACCCTTAGAATCTATTTTGTCGTATTACCCCTAAAGCTAAATGTGAAAGAACGTAAGGTATGAAGTAGAAAGATGGCCATAAAATCATAATGAATAATAATTGAATATGTGAAAGCCAAGTGAAACAGAGGGAAATTAAAAATGTAGGAACTATGGGAAGGGTAAAGAAGTATAAGAAACAATCAGTCTCTTTAGAGCAGTCGTTGGGGGAGGTGGGAATTACTCCCCCACCCTGGGACATTTAGCAATGTCTAGGGCCATTTTTGGTTTTCACAAGTGGTGTGTGGGAAGGGGAGTGCAACAGCCATCTAATAGGTAAAGCAGAGATGCTGCTAACCATCCTCCAGTGCGCAGGACAGCCCCCCAAAACGAAGAATTATCTGGCCCAGAATGTCAATCCTAGTTAGGCAGATGCTGAAACGGAACAGAAACTGTCTTTGGTTTGTCTTGATTCCAGTAGAGAGGAGGAAGCCTGTGTGTCCACATTTAACATTTTCCTAAGCAAGTCAGTTTTGGCCTCTTGCAAAGGGAAGGGCACATGGAACAAATTGAAAAACACTGATTGTTTTAGCTTGAAAACTTGCCCTTGTATTGATTCACAGTACTTGTTGGTTCATGCCAATTCTATAGTCTTGACTGAGATTTCTGAAAAAGATTTTTGTCTCGTTAAAAAAGCCTGAGGAAAATGTATTGTGCTGTATCGTACACAAGTTAAATTGATGACAGAATGGCAGTATGTTACTTATTTTACCCTGAAGGTAAAACAGAAAGCGAGGACCATTATGTAACGTGTCTGTCTACGTGAATCCCTCTGGGCAGACGTTTTGGCAGTCAATTGGAGAATGGAGAGAATGTAGCAGGGAACATTTTGTTAAATTTAATTTTAGTCCCCTAGAGTTTATATGTCCCCTGAAATATCTATGTAGATAAGGAAATAGCAGCAACCATGAAAATGCCCTGTTTATAAATACCTCTTTATAAATACAGCCATGAGATGTGATGGGATTGTTTATCTCTTACAGCTGCACAGATGTCCTGATCTCTCCGACTTCCAGCAAAAACTTTCTAGTGTTCTAAGCTACAATGAAAAACTGCTCAAAGAAAAGGAAGCTCTGAGTGAAGAATTAAATAGCTGTGTGGATAAGGTAGTAAACATAAGACTTTTTAACCATTATTGTATAGTGTATACCGTAATGAGCATTTCTCTGTACAGTGGCATCTGGGCCTCCCATTTTAGCCTAATTGTTCCAAGCCTACTGTCCTAGTAGAACAACATTTCAGCTGGCCTTATGTGATCTAAGCATTCCGGAGGTCATGATTTTGACAGGAGTGTACGTTGGTTAATAATTATTATATACAGTAATATGTAGTTTATCTCATTTTAATATATAACCATGTTACTTAATGTATATTATTTAAACATTTATTTATTATTGAGAGAGAGCACGAGCAGAGGCAGGGGACAGAGGGAAAGAGGGGGAGAGAGAGAACCTTAAGTAGGCTCCACACCCAACCTGGGGCTCGATCTCACAACCCTGAGATCATGACCTGAGCCAAAATCAAGAGTCAGACCCTTAACTGACTGAGTCACCCAGGCTCCCCTTAATGTATATCATTAAATATATCACTATTAACATATAATACAACTATGGTTGCTTTTAATAATCTGAGACCTATTACATAGGCACTTTTTTTCTGTTTTCCCTAGCAAAGCCCCAAACACTGCTTTTGTCCCACCTGCCTTGATAGGTATTCCGTATTTTCCTATTATGGTACTCTCTTGAGACTGGGGAAGGAGGAAGGTTACGGGGAGGGGAGAGGCAGAGAGAGAATCCCAAGCAGGCTCCATGCCCAGCGCAGAGCCCAACTCGGGGCTCAACCTCACAACCCTGAGATCATGACCTGAGCTGAAATCAAGAGTCAGACACCCAACCGGCTGAGGCACCAAGGGGCCCCTTGAGATTTCTAATTGCCTTCCAGCCTACCATTTCTCACCCACAGTGAGGCAATGAGAGAGAAAAATGGAAATTGCCAAAAAGAAGAGATTCCTCAAAATTAAAGGTAGAAAGGGAGTCCGGAAAACATCTTCCTTTTTTTTTTTTTCTTTTAAAGATTTTATTTATTTATTTGACAGAGACACAGGGAGAGAGGGAACACAAGCGGGGGAGTGGGAGAGGGAGAAGCAGGCTTGCCGTGGAGCAGGGGCTCGATCCCAGGACCCCAGGATCATGAGCTGAGCCGAAGGCAGATGCTTAACAACTGAGCCACCCCCCAGGAAAACACCTTTCTTTTACCTTGCCCTGCTCCCCCATGTAAACAGTTGGTGCTTGGTCTTTTCAGCATATATAGAGGTATAGAAATTTTGAGGCTAGATATGTGTTGAAAAATGCCCCATTCCCTCTTTTCTTTTCCTGAAACAGTTGGCAAAATCAAGTCTCTTAGAGCACAGAATTGCCACTATGAAGCAAGAACAGAAGTCTTGGGAACACCAGAGGGAAACCTTAAAGTCCCAACTCACGGCTTCACAGGACAAGGTATGTGGCCAATTCTTGTTTCATCTGCCTAGTTAATATTTTCCTGGATATTCCAACAGAACTCCCAGTAGAAAGAATATTCCGGGTGGAATTGGCTAAGAGGGCTCAGAATGATTCAACTTGACTAAGACCTGTCACATGCTTATAGTATGATGAAATAATTTGAACAGTTCCCTCAAAGCTCATTATTAGAATTATGAGATTATCTCATCATTATGAGATTACTTATGAAAGCTGGAGAATAATGTGTAGAAAGGACTGCTTGTTTCTCATTTAGAAAAAGGGTTCCTAAGGCAGATTCATGCCCTGTTAAAGATCTCTATCAACCTTACTTTTATACATTTAAATTATTTTTAATTAAAATATATACTAGATGTTAGCATGGAGTAGGGTTCTGACAGCTATATATATTCATTTTTAAGAAGTCCTTTACAAACCAACACCACTGGCTAAAACACAATTTCTACAAAATTCAGTAAAGCCATCTTCTGTCATGCCATTTGGTTCTCATTGGTTCTGTAAGACACCACTTGCTAATATACCAGATGACTGTATCAGCAAGACCCTGTTCCACGTCACTGACCTAAATACAATGTCCTGTAAATATACGTAATACCTGGGGTTTCCACTGAGCTACTCAAAAGAGCTGTATATAATTAAATAGAAACAGAAGAGACCTTGGAATTCTCTTATCTTAGCTCATTCACTCCTGGACAGGCTTTGGTGAGACTGTGAGGATCTGTGTCAAGTGTAAGATTGTTCTCATGATGCAGGTTCAGAGTTTAGAAGACACCCTGCAGAATGTAAACTTGCAAATGTCGCTGATTAAATCTGACCTACAAGTGACGCAGCAGGAAAAGGAGGCTTTAAAACAAGAAGTGATGTCTTTATATAAACAACTTCAGAATGCTGGTGACAAGGTAATTTCTTTTTTATTGAGGTATAAGATGCACAGATTTTAAGTCTATAGCTTACAGATGTATGTGTGTGTTTACATAAATGAGCAACCTAGGGGTTAGGAGCTCCGACCCCCTGCACAGTCAAAAATCCACATATAACTTCTGACTCCCCCAAAACTTACCTATTAATCATTAAGACTACTGTTGACTGGAAGCCTTACCAATAATATAAACAGTTAATTAACACACATTTTGTATATTGTGTTCTTATTGTATACTGTATTCTTACAATAAAGCTAAAATCATAAGAGAAAATACATTTACAATACTGTACTGTATTTATCAAAAAATTTGCATATGAGTGGACCTGTGCAGTTCAAACCTGTGTTGTTCAAAAGTCAGCAGTATATTTTACATACCTGTGTATGTATGTGCATATGTTTATATTTGTGTAAACACCTCCTAGCTCAAAATATAGACCACTTCCAGCACCCAGCAGACTCTCTGGTCTCCCCTCCAGTTGATAACCACAAGGGAACCACTTCTCTACTGTCTGCCACCGTAGGTTAGGGATGCTTGTTTCTGAACTTCATATAAATGGAACCACAGTGACAAGGTTATTTTTTGTATTGTGCAAGACAGAGGACCATGCTGAGTTAGCAAAACTAAAACATTTCGGTATTGTATAAAGTGTGTCTCATTTTAATATATCAAAGTGCTGCTTCACCTGTGTGCATAGAAATGAAAAATGGTATTAAAGATGTCAGCCTTGTGGAGATGTTAAGATTTTGTCCTACAGTAAAAGTAGGACAGTTATTTTAATCCAGTTATTTTATATCTTTTTATTTTTATTTATATATATATATATATATATTTTTTTTTTTTTTTTTAAAGTAGGCTCCACACCCAGTGTGGGGCTCGAACTCATGACCCTGAGACTAAGAGTCTCATGCTGTCCCCACTGAGCCATCCGGATGCCTCCTTTTTATTTATTTATTTTTTTAAAGGAAAACAGTTGTTTCCATTTTTTAAAATTACTTCTGGGCTGACATTTTCCTCAAAATGAGATTGTAACTTTTTTTTCTTTTTCATGTTTTGGCTTAAAAAGCAAAAGCCCTACCTACTTGTTACTTTTTTTTAAAGCATTTTCCAGGGTCCAAAAAATCACTTTGGTAACTAAAAGCATATTCTGAAGTTCAGGCCTCAATTATATGGACAGTATGTGCTTTGGATTCTAAAAAAGGATCTGATTGCAAATGTGAAAAGAGTTTAGCTTGTGAAAGCTTTCAAGTTAGCAGTGTATTTTGAAGTTCCCTTTGTGTCCTCTGTTAACCAAAAGAATAGTTATCTGGGGCCAAAGGGTTAACTTCACAAAGATTAAGCAATTTTTAAGGCCACCAATCTCTATGCACTTGGGTTCTATATAGAATCTGGACTTGCCCTACAGTCATCTTTGCTATTAGACTTGCTGGGGCTATTTTGCCAAAATAGATTTAGATTTTCATTCTAAACAGAATTTCCAAAATATTGTTTTTATATCTGTGTATACCACAGACATTCACTCCTCCATTAGAAGACATGAAGAATAAGAGGTGCTTACTAAGAATTATTGTCATTGAGTAAATACACTCAAATCAGCTTGTTTTTAAGGCTTAACTCTGCCCTTTGCTGTTAAGAACTGGGGCCCAGAAATAGCCACCCATCCATCAGGATTCCCTACGCAGCAGCACTGGCTGACTTGGGACAAGATGGATCATCTGATAAAGGAGGAACAGGAGCTACTTCGGCAGGAGAACGAGAGACTCCAAACCGTGGTGCGGAACACCAAAGCGGAACTCACGCACTCCCAGGAGAAGGTAAACTGAAAAGCTGCAGATGGTGGTGTAGGATTGAAAATACTTAGTTTGAGGGCGCCTGGGTGGCCCAGTCGGTTAAGCAACTGCCTTCAGCTCAGGTCATGATCCTGGAGTCCCGGGATCGAGTCCCGCATCGGGCTCCCTGCTCGGCGGGGAGCCTGCGTCTCCCTCTGACCCTCCCCCCGTCATGTACTCTCTCTCTCATTCTTGCTCTCTCAAATAAATAAATCTTAAAAAGAATTCTCTTTAAAAAAAAAAAAGAAAGAAAAGAAAATACTTAGTTTGATAGGAAGATGAGAGTTTGACATGATTGAAACTGTTCTAGGGTATGGATCTGAGTATTCTGCTATGGCAGACTTATTTTAGAATGTATAATTCATCATTTACTAGCAAGTAATTTTACCCTGGTATGTTTATATAATATTTTTCATTCTGTATAATCAGTTCAATATTAAAATCAGTGATTTTAATCCTCCTATCCAGAATAGCCTCATGGAAATTATGTTAACTATATATTCTCCACTCAAATGGACTAGCTGCCAAGACTGGTAGTACAAAAATGGCAAAATTAGACTCACATCTTGTTGGGCTAACTCCTTGTAAGAGAAAAGGTACCCCTTTTTATTTATTTATTTATTTATTTATTTAAAGATTTTGTTTATTTGAGAGAGAGAATGAGAGAGAGAGAGCATGAGAAGGGGGAGGGTCAGAGGGAGAAGCAGACTCCCTGCTGAGCAGGGAGCCCGATGTGGGACTCGATCCCGGGACTCCAGGATCATGACCTGAGCCGAAGGCAGTCGCTTAACCGACTGAGCCACCCAGGCGCCCAAAGGTACCCCTTTTTAAAGACTCAGCATTTCAAGGTGAGAATGGTCTCTAAAGAGGATCTTTTCCAACCACTAAATGGATGTTTATATTCTTTACTTCTGCTAAGTAGCTGACCAACTATGATGAACCTATGCTTAAACACTTCTTTTAAGGAAGAACTCTCTGAAGAGCCACAGATAGTCATTTAGAACAGCTGCTCTATGTCAGAAACTCTGCTCTCACTGAAGGTGCAGACTCGACCAAGACAGACATGGTAGCTGTACTCATGGAACTTGGTTGATATAAATGCATTGTTTCAGGTGTGAACAGTCCAGTACAAAGTGGATGGGACCATCACCTCATTGACTCCTAAGAGTTATGCTCCTATCAGAGAGAAAATGCCTAGGACTACATCTGTTTTCTTGACAGCCACGCCACACTGTTGACTCCCAGCTGATTGGTAGATCCAGAGGTCCCCTCTTCTCAGTCTGATCCTTACAGTCATTGGATTTTTAGACCCATACAGACTAAAAATAGATTTACCTCGAAGGATCTTTTGAAATCCAAAAAAGTAGAGTTCAAGAATTGGCAGACTTGGGGCACCTGGGTGGCTCAGTCGGTTAAGCGGCTGCCTTCGGCTCGGGTCATGATCTCGGGGTCCTGGGATCGAGCCCACATCGGGGCTCCCTGCTCAGCCAGGAGTCTGCTTCTTGCTCTCTCTCTCAAATAAATAGAATCTTAAAAAAAGTGTTTTTAATACAACAAAACCTGGGGTGCCTGGGTGGCTCAATCATTAAGCGTCTACCTTCGGCTCAGGTCATGATTCCAGGGTCCTCAGATCGAGCCCTGCATCGGGCTCCCTGCTCGGCAGGAAGCCTGCTTCTCCCTCTCTCTCTGCTTCTCCCTCTCCCATTCTCCCTGCTTGTGTTCCCTCTCTCGCTGTCTCTGTCAAAAAATAAATAAAATCTTAAAGAAAAAAAAAAGAATTAAAAAAAAAAATACAACAAAACCCAAGTGCTGAAAAAAAAAACAACTTTCCTTATGTTCATTTTTTTTCTTTCTTGCTAGATGACTATATTAACATTTCTTCCTCTCACGTCTGTTCTTGTTAAGGTCCGTCAGCTGGAATCCAACCTTCTTCCCCCCAAGCACCAAAAACATCTAAACCCATCAGGTACTATGAAGCCCACAGAGCAAGAGAAGATGAGCTTGAAGAGAGAGTGTGAACAGTTTCAAAAGGAACGATCTCCTACTAATAAGAAGGTGAGTTTTAAGAGTTTATACCATGTGTCTGTTTCTTTACTATGATGTGTCCCTATGTGTATGTTTTTTTCCCTGCATGCTTCCAACAAAATGATTGATTACAGTGGTATATTTTGGTTCTTCCATCTATCTATACTTTCGTAATCTTATCAAATAGTATCATAGTTCTTTTTGATTCAGGGATGGTTGAAAAGGAGCAGTTAACTTTAAGTATTCATAATGAAGATGCTTAATCTTCAGTAGTATTATAGCCCTTTTAAGTTAGTAAAATCTATTTTTAAATGTATATATCCTGAATATTAGAAACATCTTAATATGGTCTGTGTTAGCTACCTATTGCTGTGTAACAAAACAACAAACATTTGTTGTCTCACAGTTTCTGTGGGTGGGGCATTCAGAAGCAGCTTAGCTGAGTGCTTCTGGCTGAGGGGCTCATGAGGCTGCAGTCCACACATCAGCTGGGACTGCATTTATCTGAAGGTTTCACTGCTACTGAAGGATCCACTTCTAAGTTCAGGAATGCAACTGTTAGGAGGAGGCTTCTATTCCTTGCTGGCTGATTACAGAGACCTCAGCTCCTCACTGCCTGGGCCTTCTCTCAGATCATGGCAGTGAGTGATAGGAGAGAGATCCCAAAAGCTGTGGTGCCTTTTATAAGCTGTCCTGGAAGTGACACACCATCATTTCTGCTATCTTCTGTTGGTCACACAGACTAACCCTGGTACAGGAAAACTCCACAACACTGTAAACCCCAAGAGGTGGAGATCAGTAGGGACCATCTTGGAGACTGGCTACCACGTGGTTAAACCGTAGCATCACTCAGTTTGCTTTCTGTACTTTGTTCCATGAAGTAAGAGTTCTAAGACCAGTGTTACCCTGGGAGTTCTGGTTGTTAATTTGTTTTCTTTCTTTTTTCTTCTAAACTAAAACTCAGAGTTTTCACTGTTATCTTCCTCTTCTGAAAATTATGGTTTATGTAAAAATCTGGGAAGAATGATGAACAATCAATTACTTCTGTTATAAAAACTGTATGAAATGGGGCGCCTGGGTGGCTCAGTCGTTAAGCGTCTGCCTTCGGCTCAGGTCATGATCGTAGGGTTCTGTGATCGAGCCCCGCATCGGGCTCCCTGCTCGGCGGGAACCCTGCTTCTCCCTCTCCCACTCCCACTGCTTGTGTTCCCTCTCTCGCTGTGTCTCTCTCTGTCAAATAAATAAATAAAATCTTAAAATAAAAAAACTGTATGAAAATGTTAAGTTTGTGAAAGTTATCATGACCATAGGCAGTAAGAAGACTGGTTTGTGCTCTAACGGGGAAACACCATTCAGTTTTAGGTATATAAACTTTTCAGAAAGATAAAGGGTTTCATCCAGCTGCTAAGGGAAAAGTCTAATGATAGTTTTAACCTGAAAAGCTTACACTTCTCTTTAACAATTTTTGTTCCTCTCCTCAGCTCTTTTTGATAGAAACCAAAATCAGGATTCTACAAGTGTCATATATTTTCTACTTAGCAATATTCTGAATTCCAGGGTCATGTAGCTCATTACATTCCTCCTATAATAGAGAATTCTAAAAATGGATACTCACAAAATCTTCAAATTTCATCTTTAAAATTGAGAAAGTTCTCCAACTCAGGTTTTATTTACTCTCAGTTTTAAGCCTTTAAACTTTGCCTTAAGACAGTGTTTTTCCCACTGCAGATCCATAGTAGAGGATCATGAAATTGATTTAGTGAAATATCAGCCTTTTTTATTAATAAGATATGCTAGAAGATATCAGAGTCCATGGCTCATGGTAAGGATAAATTTCATTTCATGAAAGTTCTCTTTCAGTGATATGTACTTATAATTGGTTATGTGTGTGGACTATGTCCTGGATATATTTCTTAAGTGAGCAACACTGAAGTTTGAAAGCCAGGTGCCTTCTGGAATCTGTTCCACGGAAGCAATGGTGATTAAAAACTATCCTACTTAAATGTAATCAGTGCACTGAATTATATTGTTTTCCTTCAATGAGTGAACTCTGCTTTCTTCCAAGGGTTAAGATTTCTGACTAGCATAAATTTGTCAAAATAAAGCAGAGCAACTCAAGTGTGTTTCGTTTTTTTAAAGGGAATTTTTTTGTTTTTTAGCAGGTCAGTCAGATGAATTCCCTTGAAAGAGAATTAGAAACGATTCATTTGGAAAATGAAGGCCTGAAAAAGAAACAAGTAAAACTGGATGAGCAGCTAATGGAGGTAAGTTTTTAAGCAACTGGCCTTAGCTATGAAGAATATTTTAATCCATGAATGTGCCATTTGTTGGGAGAGACTAGCATAGCATTGAATTCCTATTATGAAGAAAAGTGAAAAAGTATGCTGCCAAGCTGAATTCTTTGGTCTGTCTTACCAAGTTTGATAGACGTTGTTGCTCATTACATAGTCACAGGAATTCATACTGCTTCAGAGAGGAAGGAATCATGTTGACTATTCTAAAATGCAAGGACCCATACCTCCACAAATTCAGGTGGCAGGGACTCTGTCTGATCTTGGCCAAGAGACCCAGAGCTCCCCCACCACCGCTGAGGTTGTAACAGTTTCCTGACACCTTCCCTATTGTAGTGTTTTACAGATGGGTTGCTAACAACCTCTTTAGTTAGGAAATCCGTGCAGGGAATTTGGGAGCATTAGCATTTAGAAGTTTAATCTTCCAGGGCTGTCACTGTTCATTACTACATTTGTAACTCAGCACTGCCTTGTGAGAGGTACATCTGTTAAATATAAAAATGGAGTTGTAAAACTTGTCAGCTTGGACACTGAGTTTCCAGTCTACTAGACTGCTTTCTGAATACTAAAGACAATGATAGGATATAAAACAACTTACGTACAAATCCTCCTTAACAATACAAATTTCACTGAGATACTTTGCTTGGGGTAGATGAAAATGTCACGTGGTGAACTGTAAAATTTATTTAAGGTAGAGAGGCATGGGTAGAAAACATCTTTTTGTGCTCTTAAAAAGTCGTGTGTAAACAAATATTTTAGAGCCAGAATTATAGGATGAGAGAGATTAAATAGATGGTTTTTAAATGTGAAATATGGGCAGATATGTCACACTGACATTTAAATGACCGCTGAGGTTTCTGCCAATTTTATGTTCTCTGATTTATCCACTAATAGGGAGATTAAACTATAAATAGTGAAATTCCAAACCCTTTTTTTCTTTCTCTGACAGCACATAATAAATGTGTTCCAAAGCTTGAGCTGCACGCTGTGTTTAGATGTAGAGATGCTTTCTGATGAAATAATTGTATACTGTGATGAATAAGATATCTGAAGCTAAGCTCCACATGTCTCATACCAAATTGAAAAGTAACAGGGTATACTTAGTCACTGGTAGATCTTCCCCAAATGTTCTGCCAGCAGGCCCATCCATCTCCCACCTGCTCTAGCCGGCCTCAGAAACCTCTCTCTCTTCCTAACCCCACTTCACATGTTTAACTATCATAAGCAATTTCCCTTCATTATTTTTCTCCTTGATCTAGTAGTAAATATTTGCTAATGGATGAAGTAAACGGATGTTCATGGTACTAGAGCTGAATAACTAAAGGAAAGACTTGAATTTTCCATCGGAACACTGAAAAGAACATCTCATACACTATTCTAATGAAACTTTCTTTAGGCAATAAGACAGCTATTAACTCTGTACAGACCGATACAAATTGGATTCTTCAGCAGCTTTATTAAAATGTAATTCATATACCATATAGCTCACCTATTTAAAGTATATACTTCGATGACTTTGTTATATTAATTTTTTAAATGGTGGTAAATATATGCAGAACAAAATTTGCCATTTTAAAATTCAGTGGCATTAATTACATTCACAGTGTTCTACAACCCTCACCGCTACTTCCAAAACATTTGCATCACCCCAAAGACTCTAACCATTAAACGATAACTCCCTATCCCACCAGCCCTACAAAGTGGGTTTTTATTTATGTTCTGACATCTATAGATGAGGCCACTTTGGGGCGCATACAGTGGTTTTCACACCATTTTTTGTGTGCACCTCACCTGAGGGATAGGTACATTCCTCTGACTTGGCAGGGATTCTCATTGGGTTTGGGTGAGGGGCAGGCGGCAGGGGGAGGAGATGTTCCAACATCAGAATCTTTGGGATCAAGGATTTTAAGAAAAGCTCTCTAGGCGATTCTAATCTGATGTATGTCCTCCCTTGTGGGAAGGAGTTTCTCCTCATCCTTCTATGTCAGTTTAAAAGTCACTGATCTAGGGGCCCCTGGCTGGCTCAGTTGTTGGAGCGTGTGACTCTTGATCTTAGTGTTATGAGTTTGAGCCCTGTGTTGAGTGTAGAGATTACTTAAAAATAAAATCTTCAAAGAAAAAAAAAAAAAAGTCACAGCTAATACAATATGTACCCATAGCCTAGGGCAATTAAATTCTTCCTTTTCCTAGTCTAGTGATTTGAGATCTTTAATTCCTACTCCAGGGCTTTTTCAACGACATGAGGCAATGTTCTCTAAATAACTGAATTTGAAGGTTCAAGAAAAGTGTTACAATCTGCATCAGCAGTTCTCAAGTCAGCCTAGCCAACAGTTCCAACACTTGAGCAACAAAATTGCCATTTGGAGATGCAGAATATAAACTATGAAAGTATTTAGTATCAGGTCCATCCAGACTAGACCTGGAATGTTCTAAATAATTCTGTTGGGACAGGTGGAGGTAAAGGTGGTAAGTTCACAAACTAGCCAAATCACAGTAGGTGAGGAAGCAGTTGCAGGATGAGAGCTATGAGACATTTTAAGGTCTGTAAAATTGGTATACAGAGAAATGTAAATGTTGTCCTTTATAAGTCCTTCCTGACTAGAGCACACATGTTCAGGTATATAATATACCCAGTTTTAACTGTTCTCTTTTTATAACTCATACTTTTCTTCCTCTTTTTATGACTCCTGTAATTTTCTTTTGTTTTTGTTTTGTCTGTGGCTAACCTGCACCTAGAACTCTGTGGTTGGAACTAGCAGAGAAGGGTGCAGTTCTCTGCCTGAGCTAGTGTGTGAAGGTAGAACATTCTCTTTCAATGCATTTCATAGCATGGAGATATCTCATTAGACTCCTTGTTCACGTAATCATTTTTACTGACTCTAACAGTTAGTAAATACGTAAGAGCCAATATTCATTTTACTTTAACTATGGAATATGTCTCTGTTTCCATGTACACCAGGATTTTCCTCAGTATTTAAAGACCTAGATGAAGAAAATCATCCTGCTGATATAAAATCATGGGATCATAATTCTCCCTATTTTTTAGTCCTGAAAATAAAATGGTGGGTTTCTGAATCTACAATTAGAAAATTTCAAAATGGGTAATCTCCCACCTCAGAAATTTAGATTTAAGGAAATGGATAGTGGCTCTGAAGTTTCATGACATTTAATTATAGTTGTGTCGTGGAGGGCCTTTTTCCCTTCTCACAAGCCTGGAGGAGCTGTTTCTTGAGTCTGGTACTTGAGTCTGGTCATGTTCATTGCATGCCTTCTGCGGGGTCCTCTGTCTGCTGAATGTGTCGACAGATGTGGAGTGGCATGCCTCACTGGCCAAATGCAGTGTGTTCTCCTTCTCCTTTTTCCTCTCCCCAGCTTTGGCATGTGATACACATATCATTTCCTCATTGCCTTGAACAACTATTTCTGTTCCATATACTTCAATTCCCGGGGATTCTAGGATATCACCCTTTGTCCCAGAATTGCTTATCTTATAGTGCTATTTAAGAGTTGAACATTGGTAAACTGAAATAGGGTAAAAGAATTTTAGATATGAGATTCTTTGTCTATCCTGGAAAATATATAGTCCTTGAACATTTGCTTTTAAGAATCTTTATGAATGGTAAGTAAAGTGGCAAAACCCTAAAGCATAACCACTTTCTCCCCTTTGCTTACTCCAACCCTGTCTGCATTTTGTTTGTTTAACGAGGCGTAATTAAATGTTCTAGTATAAGGAGACAATGAAGTAGAATTTAGACACATTATATATAGCGTGTACCTCATGCCCTTACAGTCACTCAAGAGTGAGGAAGTACAGTGTTTTAAGTCGAAAACTAATTATATTATCTCCTAAGGAAAATGACGCTTCCCAATGACTTACTTCTACTCAAGTCATGTACTGTCCTGTTTTCAAGTTATCAGGGGGTCTGAGAGGCCACTAATGAATCCATCGGCTTCATTCACTCTGCTTGACACTTTCAAGAGTAGCTCTGTGCTGCCAAGCACTGCAGCTGACCCGGGCTTTGCCTTTGTCGTCCAGAAGCAGCACCTGAGGTCCACTGTGATGCTTAGCCCATCCCCTCATGCTTGGGATCTCCAGCTGCGCCAGCAGCAAGCCTGCCCGATGGTGCCCAGGGAGCAGTTTCTGCAGCTTCAACACCAGCTGTTGCAGGCTGAGAGGACAAACCAGTGCCTGCAGGAGGAACTTGAAAACAGGACCTCCGAAACCAACACACCGCAGGTATGAGGCTCTTTCTTCCCTGCTGGTTAATTCAGCTCACCTCACCTCATTTGGCCTGTTTATGGGAAAGTTATACCCGTTCAAAGGTGGGGATAAAGAACCTAAATCTCTGTCAGAGAGCACCATCTTACCTGTATGACAAATCCACAGAACTGCAGTGTTACTTGGGGGTTTTGTTTGGGTTTTTTTGCAGTGATGCTCTTGCACTCTCAGCTTTGAAGCTGGGGAATGAAGTGTTCTGGGTCTCCTTTGCACATTCGTAGTTGATGAAGTCTCAGGATCGCTTGAGCGTAGTGTACAAGTGACCTAACGTTTTTTGACTTCACATTTGTCTGATGCCAAAAATATTACAGAATTCAAGTACAACTCTAGGATATGCATTACTAACAAAGCAACCTGGGTTTTCCTGTACTAGAGGGGTACAGTCTGCTGAGTTCCATAGAATTCACAAGTGGGGACTTTAAACAACTAATAGAGTGTGTAGTCAGTGACTTGAGTTGATGTATTTCATTTAACTTAATTTTTAAGAATGATCAAGTTTGAAAACCTCTTCTTAAGGAAATAAACATCTTTTCCCTTTTCCTTTGAATTAGCCTTATCCTAGCGCACTACAGACACAATCTGATACAAGCTGGGTTTCCAAATAGTTCTCTTGAGACTTCTGAAAAAGCTTGACTAGGAATGAAGCACTTCATGCTTTTTGCTTGCCCAATTTGTTTATTCAGAACTAGGAATAAAATAAAAATATTCCTTAGTTTGTATAATTCTAAATTCAATCTGGTTTGGATGCTTTTCTTCTGTTGTCTCTCAGTTGACTTTTCATAAGGAATTTCCCCACCTCCTTCTCTGTAATTGTCTCAAATTAGCACTATAATTATACCCTGGAGCAGTTCTGTCTTCCCCTTCTAGTAGTAGATATCTGTGCTTTGTCATGATATGCTTCTGTCAGCTAATCTTTTGAACAAAACCTTAAAATTATTTTGTCTTCTGTGCTTTAAAAATTCACGTTTTTGGAAGTTGCTGCTATTCCACTTCAGTTTCCAAATAGTAAAATTGTGTTGGTGGGGTGTTGAACAGATGCTCCAACAATTCATTACAGAACTGAATTATAAAACCTTGACCTCAGTTTTTGTTTTCTTAAGATTTTATTTCTCAACAGAGAGAGAGCCAGCGAGAGAGGGAACACAAGCAGGGGGAGTGGGAGAGGGAGAAGCAGGCTCCCCGCCAAGCAGGGAGCCCGATGTCGGGCTCATGACCTGAGCTGAAGGCAGACGCTTAACAACTGAGCCACCCAGGCGCCCTTGACCTCAGTTTTTAACAGACATTTTAAACCAAAGGATTAGGCGAAGATTTTATCTATTGCTTTCTCATACACACAGTTTTCAAAGCATGCTCTTCTACCCTACCTGCCAGTGTTTAAAAACAATATCCTTTTACTCCGATTACTTCAGGATTAGATAGACAAAAACTGTTAAGATTTTTGTACTAAAGAAAAAAAATTTCTCCAGTTGGATGGCAGAGTGGACTGCTTATTGCTGTCACTAGAATGCCACTGCAGACTCTCCTATTTCTGGTAACTGAGCTGCCATTAATTTTAAAACGACAGAATATTGTTAGAATCTGCATGTTGCCTCTGTGTGTGGAGTGATGTGATGTCTTCTGCCTGTGTGTTGCTTTGCTTGCATATGTAGTGTTCGTGTGCTTTTAAAAATTGTTTGCATTATAAATGTGTGAATTTAGACTCCTCCCAAAACATAATCTTGACATCAGGGTGAAGTGTACCACTTGCCTTCTTTCTCTAGGCCTTGCTACCGGAGCAGCGAGCAGTGCATGCAGATTCCTACAGAAGGATTGGGCACCTGTGAAAACTGGGCTGCTATTGATGGCATTTCTTACCATGGCAGATACTCAGATGCACACACCCATACACCCCGTGCACACACACACACAGAGACATAAGCTGAAAAATGTTTTGGAATCAAGTGCTCTTTTAAATCATTATTATTATTGCCTTTGCAGTATTATGTCTCTTATTTATTAATGTAGAAATGACAGATTTTGTGAATCAAATTCACAAATTTCAGCTTGTTTTGAATCGTTTTATTTATACCATTTAAAGAGTGTGGACTTGAGATTCTTAAAAGGATGTATTCTATATATTTTCTCATTCCATATGCTGTAACTATTTTTAACAAGAGGTACTACTTTTATATATGGAATTGGAAGAAAATTTGGGTTATTTATACTGTTTTGTATAAGATGTATAATGCTTTTTTGACAGGAAAAAGGAAAATTTTGACAATAAAATAAATTTTAAATATATGACTGCCTTTGTTTTTCCTCTTTTGCCATGTTCCATGTTCTTCGACTTATCTGTTATGGTTTTGTTTTGTTTTGTTTTGTTTTGCTTTTTTTCAGGCAAGTAGAAATCAGGCATTTTCCATTTACGTTTGAACTTTGAAAAAGCCATTATATCTTTTAAAATATAGTATTTTTTTTAAAGCTAGATGTTCTCAAGGCCTGATTTCTTGAGGTTTACTTTCTGCATTAGACTTATACATACTACAATTTTTGACTTCAAATTGGTCACATGGTTTAGTTGCTTATATTTGAATAAATGCTGTTATTTTATCCAAACAAATGTTGGCTTTCCACCCATGTTTGGTCATTCTGCATGCTTTTAAGAGGAGTTATATCATCAGCCACTAACACCTGAGTTTTGAAGAACCTTTTAAAATCTGAAATTCTGTATGTGAACATTTTAGTGGCCTGCCGAGAGAGGCCGTTGGTTGCACTCTAAGTCTCTGTGTCCTTGGGCTCTCCAGACCCCACGGAATTCCTTCATCCATCACTGTTGTGTGAGGAGAGGAGGGGCAGCCGGGGGTCTTCTTCTGCCCTATTATTTTATCTAGGAGTCGTGTGTGGAAAGAGAATTATTAATTTTAAATCTTTTATGATAAACCCATCCTCAATGCAGATGTTTGCTTCACACTGACAAGTCAAAATGGGAAACAGATGACTACAGTAACTGGCAGGAAGAGGCTGATTGTTATGAGGAAAGGAACACTAACAAACACCCTCACATCACAGTAACCAGCCATTTCACACAGGAGAAATGGACCTGCACATTGCAAGCTGATTGGAAATGTTAGGTGATCCTGAATAAACACAGTTTTGTTTTATTCTTGAGAGACCCACAGTATGGCAAAGGCCCCAGTCACAGATGGAAGGTTGATAACCATAGTTTAATTTACTTTGGATACCCATCTTACTAGAGGAGATGCACACAGGTACTAAATTATGGGTTTTAAGAATATGGCTTTATCTCAGGGGAAAATGGTAACACAGGTAAGATTTTTTTTTTTTAATCTTTGATTCCTTCTCTGATAGGATTTCTTTTCTAACGTGCAACCCATGCAATGTTCAGAACCCCCATTTCTCCAGAAATCCACCCTTCCAGTTACAAAGGCAAACATTTCCTGTCCTTTCTTTAGGCATCTTGTGGGGAAAAATAAATTACTAGTGTTTTTAGTATGGCATGATTTTCCAATGATAATACCCTTTTTTTCCTCCTTTCAGGGAAACCAGGAGCAACTAGTGACCGTCATGGAGGAACGAATGATGGAAGTTGAACAGAAATTGAAACTGGTGAAAAGGCTTCTTCAGGATAAAGTGAATCAGCTCAAAGAACAAGTGAGCCTCCCGGGTCACCTCTACCCACCCACCTCACATTCCACTTTTAACTCCAGTTTTCCATTCCTTTATCGCCATTAACTTGTTCACTTCTGTTGTCAAATAAAGGCAAATGCTACTACAGATGTACAGCAGAATTTAGGATTCACTCTCCCCCATACCACTCCAGAAGTATGAATTCTGTATTCTCTACATTATTTTCCCAAAGCTCTTTTAAGGCAGGTTGGTCCACAATTTCAAAAATGTACGTTTGCTAACAGAGACTGACACGGACCTAACGAATTAATTCCTAACAAAGTTCAGCAGCTCAAATTTAATGTTTGTAGATTTTTTTTATTTGCCCAAGACAGGAAATATTCTATGGAAATAAACAGAAAATTTATGTTGGTAAAAAACTGGAAGATAAATGGAACTTTAGCTTTCCTGTTTGCAACAGCTATGATGACCTCAAAAAGTACTTATGGCTATAACCAGACCCCAAAATGCTGTGCTCTGAATTAGAATAGGGACCCAGAATTCCAGGACCACTATGGAGACTGACCCTTTTCACCTGCTGGTGGCAGGTGTGGCCTGTGTTTAGAAAGTATTTGTGTAACCACTGATGACATGCAAAAAAGGACTACTTTATAGAACGTGTTGTAGTGCTTTGGAAACTGAGATGAAGAACTGAGGGGCGGGGGCAGAAACTGTCCAACCTGGTTTTCTAGATACATAAAAAGAAGAATCATCCCAAAAGAAGGTCTTAATGCAGCGGTAGACTGGAACTTTCCTTTGCCCAATGTCTTAATCACAAAATGGAAAGAAAGTCTTACACAATACACATTTATTCAATCCTTTAATCATTCCCTTATTCAAAACATAGCTACTGTGTGCCAAGTCCTGTTCTAAGCACTAGAGATACAGCAGCGAACAAAACAAAATCCTGCTCATGTGGACTGTAATTCACTTACAAGGTATCGATCATTTGGCAAGGTAGTAATTTCAAAAATAAAGAAAATGGAGTCCACTTCAGCAGAGGAGAACGTAGAGAAGAAATACTTGATCCAACTCAGGAGTTTAAAGCAAGTTTCCTGAAGGCCTCTTAAACCAAGTACTGATGCTGAGTAAGATTTGAACAGATGAAGAAATGTGAGAAGGACATTGTAGGCTATGGGAACATCATGTAGTTATGACAACATATGGGGTGTGGACATCTACAAACATTTTGGCATTAACAGTTCATACGGTCCTGAAAGAAGCGGAAGAAACTAGAGCAATAAGGAGGAGTGGGCAGTAGAGAGCCCTTAGTGCTGAGCTATGGAGTTTGAATTTCATTCTGTAGGTGATGAAGAGCCATCAAAGTGTTTTTTAAAAGTGAAGAAAGAAGGGGGAGAGAGAGAGATGAAAAGTTGTCTTAGGACAGTTTAATAGAGTAGGCGAGTATGTTACACCAGCCAGTCATCTAGGTCCTGGGCTTCAGTGTCACCATCTTTATCATTGCCTTTTGAAATGCTAATAAATTAGCTAAGCTTCAGTTCATTATTCCCTAAAAACTCTGTACTTTCAGATGCCCTGGTTAAAACTGGGTGTAAAATGAGGTGTAACGAGAAAAGGGGGATTGGAATACATTAATAGGAACTATAATAAAATTATCCCAGGGCTGCTGACCAATTTTCCCAGCCCAACCTAGACTATATCTTCTAATCCTAAAAATTAAAATATATCTTCTAGACAAGCTCTACTATGCAAAAGGGGAAGAGTTAAGGAAAAGTAACTGCCCAAATCTTACCTTTGTTGTATACAATACATGGACCAAATTTTAAAATAAACAGTAGGTTATAGCTATGAATGTTCTTAACAAGTGCTTGAGCTTCCCAGAGTTAAAGTTCATACTCTATACCTCAGAAACTATAAAAGTATTTTGATATATTTTTAGAGAATGAAAAAGTAATACCTAATTTATTTAGGTGGAAAAAGACTTGAATTTTTGAGCCTTCAAATATTAATATGTTCTTTTTGTTAGTGACTTCTACAAGCAGCATGCAAAGAAACAGCTTGGAATAAGTGGATTTGCTCTACTTGCATCCCTGATGCCAGGTCTGATGTTAAACCTGTGTTGTAAAATAGAAGAATATAATTGATAGACGTCATTTGCCTTTATGAACAACTGTCCTAATGTCACACCTTTAAACTTAATTACAGAAATGGAGTCAAGATGTTTCTGGTTCTGTTTCTAGCTCTACAAGAATACTAAAGCAGATGCAATGGTGAAGGATTTGTATGTTGAAAATGCCCAGTTGTTGAAAGCTCTGGAAATGACTGAACAGCGCCAAAAAACAGCGGAGAAGAAAAATTACCTCCTAGAAGAGAAGATTGCCAGCCTCAGTAACATAGTCAGGAATCTGGCACCAGCACCACTGACTTCTACACCTCCCTTGAGGTCATAGCCAAGCCAAAGGATACACTCATATTTGTGCACTTTACTGAAATGGATGGAACATTTCAGTAAGTTCTCTCAACCATTTGTTGTTTAAACCTTTAATGGTTTAAAGTTAAGCTCAACCTAAAACTGCCAGCAACAGAACTGGTCTCCATTCATTATAATTAGTTCTTCCAAAGAGACTAAATTATTCCCAAGCTTTGAATTTTTAAAAAATATCCTAATAGCCACCAAAAAGGTAGATATATGAACACGATGCAAGAGTCTTAAAACCCCAGTTTTGAATGAGTTTTTTTTAAATATTATATATAAAGCTATGTGTAAATGCCAGATATTTAAAGTTTGAGATCTGATTAGCCTACTGTTTTGACCTTTATTTAAAAAACAAATGTATGTCTTCTTACACCTTCAAATATGGAAAAGTCATTCTGTTTCTAATACTTTTGGTTCTTTGGTAACAGACCCTGGGCTCAATAACCACAGAGGTCAGAAAAGCCAGAGTCCATAGTACTCTACCTTTTAACAGCTATGACAGTATTACCACCCTTGATGTATTCTAGATGTACAACTGATTTATTCAACTGCACTGTTAACTAATGTTAAAACTGTACTTTAAACATTTTTTTTCCTCCTTAGAAGTTTCATTCGGGGAGCTTACCTTCTAAAAAATGGATAAAGCCACGTTCTTAAAAGCATTTGAACTATAGGGAAAGCATTGAACAAATCACTTTGGAGTAAACAGCTACTCTTAGAAGAGAGATAAGCAAACCATGGGGGTTTCTCTCTCAAGTCTTGGAGTTCATGAACTTACGTTTAGGGTTGCTTCAAGCACTCAGGGAACAATACTTTGAATGGTCTTCCTGAAACACTGTAGGGCCTCTTTAAGAATCTGAAATGCATAAACCATGTGACCTTATTTGTCTTATATTTAGAGCTGTTCTGTGATTTTTATTTCGATATTTTTGGTGAATTTACTCTTCTGAAAAGCCTTGATTTTAGAGCTAAAAACTTATGGAAGAGTTATTTGCTTAACATAGGTTAAAATTTCCATGCTTCCTATTCTTCTAACACTTCAAATCTGATCATAAGAATTTCTTACTCTGAGGGTACCTGGGTGGCTCAGCTGGTTAGGCGTCTGCCTTCTGCTTGGGTCATGATCCCAGGGTCCTGGAATCGAGTCCCGCATCGGGCTCCCTGCTCAGCAGGGAGTCTGCTTCTTCCTCTGACCCTCCCCCCTCTCGTGCTCTCTCTCTCTGAAATAAAATCTTTAATTTCTTACTCGGATGAGGACTGGCATGCCATCTGAGGTAAAAAAGTGCCAAGGAGCTCTTACAGGTCTAGCTGTCTTACAGGTATAGCTGTTTCCATTCAGTTCTCAAGACCAGAACTTTATAGAGCAGTCAACGTTTTTACGATGGGTAAATATTTTCCCCCAAATCAAAGCTTTGCTTCTCAGCCTACTTCAGCCAGCCAGCCAGCCATTGGTGGAGGACTTATGTTTAGGACACTGACAAAGCTCATTCTAGTGACCTACTTGTTTTTGTGGAACAGCAATTAGATAAGAAAAATTCACTCTGATGTATTCCTGGAAGGCCAAACCCATCGATTTACAAGACCGGTAACAGCAAAATCACGCACTGCTTTATGGGCAGGGACAAAAGATTCACGAAAACTGCCTAAGAAGTCATATGATGTTTAAAAATCTCAACAAAATAATTTGCATCAAGCAACTTTCAGGTTCCTCGTGGCCTAACCATCTGTTGGTCCCACCTGACAAGCTAGGGCCAACACAGAAATCCTTACTCCAAGAGCTCTGACAAGGTATGGCCGTTTGTGGTACTGGAATTCAAACTCATGAAACAAACCTTTTCAGGTCTGGATAGCTCTTACTATCAGAAAGTCCTGATTTCTCCCTGGAAAAATAATTAATTTTAATCCTTTCCTGTAATTACCCTTCAAAACATGTCACATCTGCTATCATGCCTTCCCTAATCTTTCATCCCAGTGCAAACATTACTAGTCAACCCAAGTACTTGTATGGCATTGGCTTTAACAGAGAATGTTTTTCACTTAAAACTGTGGATAGACCTAGGGGACTAAGGTCATAAATAAACTATGCATCTGTGGTGTATTTATGTGATATGCTTCAAGTTACTCAAGGTTATTACTATCAAAATTGAACACCAAGCAGATTTCTCAAATAACTGGCTTTAGCATGTGATCACATGTGTTGTAATTTTTGTTGTTTTTTACATTACGAAAAGTGTAGGTTAATTTCTCATAAATCTATATTTATGTGTATATAAAATGCTGTATAATGAATGTAAATATGACTTTCTGGAAAGTTTTAGACTACATTTAGAATCCCTTTATCCAAAATCAAAATGCTGCTCAAATGATTAATTGAATCAACATCTAGGTGCTTTATTTCTTGTTTTACTGCACTTATAAAAGGGAAAAAGATTAACATGAAGTTACCTTAAATTTATACATTTGTGCAGCAGTTTATTTTTGTAGCCTAGAGTGGGAATTTAACTGGCAATTTATAATAGCATTTACAGCTTTTAAAAAATCTTTTAAAGAGATTAAATTTGAACTTAAATGTTTAGGTTTTGCTTTCAGACTTTATAATAGCACTCTTAAAAATCACTAGTTATGTATTCTTTTATAGGCATTTAGCTACTTGTTTGTTAAAAGCACTGGTTAAACTTTCTTTGGCTTTCTTAAGAGTTATTTAAATTAGTCTGAGAAGATGGGATATTCATTTCAAGGAAAGAGTCAAGTTTGCCTTTGTGATAATATGTTACGCTAAGACAAAGAAAGTGTGGATCACAAAACCTGCGTTATTCTATTTTGCTTTCTTCTGCTCTTTAGAAGCCTGAACTCTTAAGCTCAAATTGTGAAGGGAGAAAAGTAGAGGGGGTGGGGTAGAACTGATCACAGTATTTTATTTATTTTTCTAAAACCTGGATTTTAAAACTATTTTAAATGTGAATCCTTCCCAGAGGCTTCAAATACATTGCTTATATATTTAATCTTGAGCATATTTTACATAAATAGATTACAAAATCATAAGCTTTCACAATATAGAAGGAGCTCTTACAGGTCTAGTGTTTCAATAATGTACAAATACCCAGGACAGGTATTATTATGAAGAACGTTTTTCTTTAAGAATGAATAAAAAGTCCACTTTATGGTGGACTTTAACATGTGGGAATGAATTTATTTTTTTCATTTCTTTTTTTTCCTGAGGGAAGGAAAAGAGAAATATGTTGCTATTGTCAGCATCTTAAAGGTATTCCCTATCAAGGCAAGGCTAAGTGCTTTGTCATAGTATTAAGCAAGTCTTGTTTTGAATGGATTACCTGTAATGGCTCATTGGAATGATATACAAGTAATGCCAAAAGCCAAGTCAAAGCCTAATAACCAAAGCATTCCATATTTAAAACTTATTTATCATATCATATTTGGACCTATTTGAACATCTCAACACTCTAAAAAAGAAAACTATTATGGCATATGGATAGCTGTTTATTAAAATTAGCCTTTTATTGCTCAGCTTTTTTGAATGATTTGAATTAACTTTATTCTTGTGGGAAGACATTTTCACACCATGATTTAAGGGAACACTAGTTTTGTGGGGAAAAAAAACCAAAACCCTGAGTTCATCAAAAGCCATCTATAAGATTCTTTTGAGATAAAAATTAATCTGTATGTGTTGATATCAACTTTGTATATTTCATCTTAGCCATTCTCTCTTAAAGGTTTTAATGTGAGCTTAAAATGTAAATAAAGAATTTTGTAAACATGGCTCTTGTTTTCTATATATCCTGAACTTTTATACAGTGTCAGTACGTTCATCATTGGTCTTTAGAGTAAAAGCATCAAAATACTGCACTAAACACATTCTACAAATGCAGAAGCTCTGCATCCACCCCAGACCTAATAAATCATATTCTTCATATTCTGCATTTTAAGAAAATTCCCAAGTGATTTGTATGTGATTTAGAGCACTGGGACTCCATTTCTGTCACAGAATTGAAGACTTTTACACCAGCAAGTTTGGGGTCCCTGTATCCTGTAGTGGTTCGTAATTTACCTCCAGAATCCTGACTCAACCTCAGGTGAGGCCCTACCTGGGATTTTGGGTGCTTTGGAGATGACTTTGTTTCACTTTCCCATCTTTATGGGTGACTCAGACTTAGTTGAGCTGTTTGTGAATGATGCGATATATACAAGTATAGACATAAATGTCAGCCTGAAAATACATTAAGTCACTATGCTGAATACTGAAATGTAGAATGGAAATGGTGGCCAAACTAGACCCATCTCACAAGCCTTGTTTAATTACTTTCAAAGCTTTTATATCAGCCTTACACTGCCTTTAGGAGGCAAGAGCTATAATTATCCCCATTTTACAGGTGAGTAAACTGAAACTTAGCAAAATTGTGACTTAAGTCCACACAGCCAGCTAAAAAGGGCACTCAGGATTTAAGACCCTGATTTGTCTGTATTAATATGTTGCAGCACTTTATCAGTTTCTACTTCCATCAACAACATATGTGTTGACTGAATACCTACCATGCATACTATAAAGAAAAATGTAAATCATTCCTGGTTTTCTGTTTATGATTGGGTTGGGGTAGAGTAGTAAGATTTATGCACAAAAAAATTAGAAAAAATATCCATACAGAAGATGATTAAGTTTTGTTGAAGGATTCAGTACTATGGGCATTAGGATAAGGAAGATTAGCATCTTCAGGTATTTTAATGTAGAATGAGGAAGGTTCTTCACCTACTATGTTAAATATAATTGTGTATGTACTTCATTGAGATTAGTGTAACCTGTTTTGTAGTCTCTTATTCATCTTGCATGCAAAAAGTCATATTTTCCCTCTGATACTAATTTGATGTCCATTTTCCCATAATAATGGTTAGGTTTTATCCAAAGGATCAGAATTTTGACCTAAAGTATATAAATTATCTATAATCTATTGATTAAAATGTTAATTTAATCTAGATAAAATATGTTGTAAGTCACAAAATTGGTTGTTACTCACTGTTGGTTTTGCCTCATTTGCAGATCAGGAAAAATGACTGATTTAAACGTCTTTTAAAAAAAATTAAAATTCCACAAAGGCGAACTGTAAAACTGAATCAGCAAAATGTCAGCTAAAGAGTAGGCAACCAGGATGCCTGGCTGGCTCAGTCAGTAGAGCATTGACTCTTCATCTCAGGGTCATGAGTTCAAGCCACACACTGGGTATAGAGCTTACTTAAGGAAAAAAAAAAAAGGCAACCATGTAAAATAAAGCTAGATACCCTTATGTTAAAATATTTAATTTTAGGGGCGCCTGGGTGGCTCAGTCATTAAGAGTCTGCCTTCAGCTCACGTCATGATCCCAGGGTCCTGGGATCGAGCCCCGCATTGGGCTCCAGCCCCGCATTGGGCTCCCTGCTCAGCGGGAAGCCTGCTTCTCCCTCTCCCACTCCCCCTGCTTGTGTTCCTTCTCTCACTCTGTCTCTCTCTGTCAAATAAAATCTTTTAAAAAAATATTTAATTTTAAACAATTGCATGAGATATGCTTTACTAGTTACAGCAAAGTAAAAATCTAACAGTCCTTAGAGCCAAAATGAGCATTCACTATTTTTCTTTCCTGTTAGGAATTTTATCTGTCTTCAAGATCTCAAGCAATACATAAGCACCAACCCAGTCCCAGGCACTAAGATGTTATCCACTGGAGTGGTGGGCGGTGGGAGGCATGGGGTGGCTGGGGGATAGATACTGGCGAGGGTATGTGCTATGGTGAGCGCTGTGAATTGTGTAAGACTGTTGAATCACAGACCTGTACCTCTGAAACAATACATTATATGTTAAAAAAAGAAGATTGTAGGAAGGGAAAAATGAAGGGGGGGAAACGAACCATGAGAGACTATGGACTCTGAGAAATAAACTGAGGGTTTTAGAGGGGAGGGGTGTGGGAGGATGGGTTAGCCTGATGATGGGTATTAAAGAGGGCACGTATTGAATGGAGCACTGGGTGTTATACGCAAACAATCATGGAACACTACATCAAAAACTGATGTATGGTGATCAACATAAAAAATATATAATTTTTTTAAAAGATGTTATCCAGTATTACAATGCTATGGACAATAAACATTGTCAATGTTATAAAAAGCAAAAAAAAAAAAAAAAAACCTGTGGAAATGTCCTAGATTAAAGGAGACTAAAGAGACTTGACAACTAAATGCAATTAACTACTCGTAGGTTGGAATTCTATATTGGAGAGGCCAACTGGATATGGATGGTACAGTAGAATATAGCCTTATATCAATTTTAAATTTAATGAAGTTGTTAATTAGTATGTTTATGTAAGGCTATATTCTAAGGAAATACACACTGAAGTTGTTTTTAGGGATAAAGAACCATAATGTATGCAACTTACAAATGATTCAGAAACACAAAATTATACACACAAGGACTCAGAGAGTAATGAAGTAATTGTGTGAAATATTTAAAATCTTGGGAGGGGCACCTGGGTGGCTCAGTTGAGCATCCAACTTTTGATTTTGGCTCAGGTTGTGATTTCAGGGTTGTGGGATTGAGCCCCATGTTGGGCTCTGCACTCAGTGCAGAGTCTGCTTGTCCCTCTCCCTCTGCTCCTCCCCCACTCCCTCTCAAGCTGTCTCTCTCTCTCACATAAATAAATGGATATATTTTTTTTAAATAGGGGAACGGTATGCAAGTATTTGTAATATTCTTTTAACCTTCTTTAAGTTTGCAATTATTTCCAAATAAAACATTTCTATCTACAACATATAGATAGAAATTTACTAAATGTGGTAGTAGGCACTTAACTTCAACTTTCCTTACCCTCATGGCAACTCTGAAGCGTAGATGGTATTCCAATGGGAGAGAAGAGGAAACTGACTAGAAACCACGTATGGCAGCCTATCCATATGCCTATGGTCTATTATGTAAATTTTGGTAGAATCAGATATTTTTCCTATTTCCCTGGAAATATAGAAAATGGGAAAACATGGGAGAGATGGAGGCATTTGGCAGAAGAAGTAAAAGCCAGAAGAAGCGACAAGGGGGTCCATAGGGTACAAGAGAAGCTGTTCAGGAAAATAATCCCCCCTCCAAACACAAAACGACAGTCCTTAAAGCAAGACATAAAGGTCAGTAGGAGCTCAGGATTAACAGTGCACCCTCTTCTATCTCTTCATTTGTTAGCATGCAAGTATTTATTTTTCCTGAGGTAGAAAACACACTTTATCCATGCCTACAAATGATTGTACTCTCCTACCCTCTGGAGAATGTGACTCAAAGAGGAACTTGTGGCAAGTTAAAGTAAAAGGGGATTTACTATAAGAAATCATATTTGTTTCACGGAACCGAAGGGCAGAAAATACAGACAGACTTCATGAGGTATCAAATCAAAGACCTTTGGTGCTCTCCCCTACCCCCCGGCCCCCCTCTCTATCCTTAGCTATCTCTCATCACGTGGTCTCTTGTTTTTTGTTCCTCCCTCTGCACCTGTTTGGGGGGGGGGGGCAGCAGCAGTGTTTTCCTATCCTCTCCGGTTCAAATGCTAGAGGTCAACAATTACTAAAAGCTGGTTGGATTATGGAAAGACCCTTGCCGGGTCAATCAACTATGGACAGCAAGGGTCAGGGTCTTGGGGTATGGTACAAGCTGCAGAGGTTACCACATGAGACAAAATACTCTCATAGATAAGGGGTTATGATGGATAGTGAGGGAAATTTGGGCTTAAGATGTGTAGACAGTGGATAAAAATGACTTCAAGGGTAGGATTTTTTTTTTTTAAGATTTTATTTATTTATTTGACAGAGAGAGACACAGCAAGAGAGGGAACATAAGCAGGGGGAGTGGGAGAGGGAGAAGCAGACTCCCCGCAGAGCAGGGAGCCCAATGCGGGACTCGATCCCAGGACCGCGGGATCATGACCTGAGCCGAAGGCAGTCGCTTAACCAACTGAGCCACCCAGGCGCCCCAAGGGTAGGATTTCAAAGAGATTTTTCTGTTTACTCACACTTTTATGGAAACCTATTCAAAGATAAGTGCCATTTTAAAATGCCACCTGGTGACAAAAGTAGTTGCTCACTATTGCTCGTGTTATTCCTATCTTCTGTCCTTGTTCCCTGCCCCCAGGTCTTTGTCCTGATTCCTACATTTTCTCCAGATACCACATTCAGAGCTTCGTCAGGGTGTCCATCCAAGTCACAGTGGGTATAATAAATACCACCTACCATAACCAACGTAAGCAGTGCAATCCGGTAGCAATGTATTAAAAATATTGACAGGGAAAGGCAAAAGTTAAAGGTCTTTTTAAAAATATAATTACAGAAGATTTAAATTTTGCATTAAGACCATGCATAAAAGAAATTCTATTGAAGTTTGTCAAGATATTATCCTTTACTCTCAAAATCTGGTGTAGGAGCCCCTCCTATGTGCTTGCATAAGCACCCTGTGTATTTTCAGGTGAAGCTGGTACCACTCTGTGTAATTGCCTACTGACTTGTCTCATCTCCATTAGACTTTTAAGATATTCCCAGTTCCCAACCCAATGAAAAAAAATTGGTGCCCAATTAACACTCATCACATGGATGGAAAAGCGTATACGTTTTTTAGTTTTTCATCCTGTAAAGGCACTGACCTCACAGGAGAGTATATATGCCAATTGTCTTATGTATATGATTTAATGGTGCTCTTCTCAGTCTTTAGTGTTTATTAAAGGGCCAAAATTTTAAGAATATATTAGTAAGAAGTTGCAGAAAATTTT